TAAGCAAGACTGGAAACCTAGAGGTCAGAAGGAAAAAATATGCATATAATATTAAATAAAAATTGACACTTTTGCCTTGGCAATTTCCATTATAAATAGGATGAAAAGACAAGGACAGACTAGGAAAGTATTTGTCACATATAACACGTGACACATAATTTCACTAACATAGAAGTTATCAAGAAAAATGCCATCTATTAGAAAAATGGGCAAAGGAAATGGAATTGTACTAAAGTACCTGGAAAAGATCAATAATTATACAATAATAACTTTAAACTCACTGTCAGTTCAGACAAACTCAAACAAAGATACACAAACTCAAACAAAGATACACAATTTTTCTACCATTACATTGGCAAAGTGTAAAAATGTAATGCTGGCAACAAAGAGAGTAGATGATATTTATTAATCAATTATTATACGCTAAGAACTTTATATGTTTTTTTATATAACGTTAAGGAAACAGCTCAGCTAGCAAATGTCAAAGGCAAGATTTAAACCTATGTAACCAGATGCCGGAAGCCCAGGCTTTGTTTCAACATGCCCAGCGTGGCTGAGGAAGCCAGGGAAAAGGCACTTTCATTCGTTGCCTGGGGCAGTGTGATTTGCGAAATCCTTTAGAGAAAGTTATGTGGCAATACTATTAATATTAAAAACGCATTCCCTTTGAACTGCCACCCCAGAAATCAAAGAGTTACCAGCATCTCAGCATTACTTACTCTTCAACTGCTTAGTAGAATTGACCTGTAAAATCTCTTGGACTTGGCAGTGTGTGTTTTCAATTTTGTGTTCTGTTTTGTTGTGAGTTTGATTTTAATTTTTTAAAAATGTATTTGTTTATTTGAAAGTCAGAGTTTGAGAGAGAGAGAGAGAAGTGAGAGAAAGAGAGAGAGAGGGAGAGAGAGAGGGAAGGAGAGAGATCTTCCAATCACTGGTTCACTCCCCAAATGGCTGCAATGGCGAGGGCGGCCAGGCTGAAGCCAGGAGCCAGGAGCTTCATTGGGATCTCCCATGTGGGTATTGAGGGCCAAAATACTTAGACCATCCTCCACCGCTTTTCCCAGGCCATTACCAGGGGGCTGGATTGGAAATGGAGCAGCTGGTACCGGGCTGCCACAGGGACCGTGGTCATTGCAGGCAGAGGCTTTACTCAGTATGCCACAACACAGGCCCTGACTTTAATTTCTTACTGGTTATAGATTGTCGCTTGCTGTCTCTTCTTTAACTAGTTGTGGAAAGTTATAATTTTCCCAGGAAACTGTGCCGCTTACTAGGTTTTTGTCCCCCAGTTGCCAATCCACCCTTTTGCACCTGACAATGCTGGAACTGGAGCAAACCACTGACAACTCCAAGTGCTGGTCACCCAGCCCTAAGTATGTGGTTCTTCCTACATCTGTTAGTCCAGTGCTCTCTCTGCACCTGCTCAGCTCTCCCATACCTGCCTCCCCAAGCCCTTCCATTCATTTCTGTTTCTGTCCATCCAGCAGGACCCAAATGGCCCTGACACATTTCCCACGCTGAAGCTTCCTAATTTATTAAAATTCTTTATGGCAATACCTTATTTATTAAATCCCTGCAATATGTCCTGTGTCTTCTCACTCCTAATGAATGTGTTTGCTTTTACTTAATTTTGTCTATTTCCAGCAGTCTTTTAAAGTAATAATTAACTTGGACACTCTTTCATTTCCAACTTTTCTTTTTTTCCAATATAAGCAACGAACCGCTATAAATTACTCAGGAACTGCTCTTTAGCTGCATGTTTAAACACAGGAGTTTCATTATGTCTCAGTGTGTCGTATCGAGTCTGCTTATCTTCTCATTCCCATATTGAGCTCTCCTCTGAGTCATGAGTTATTTAGAAGTGTTGTAAAACTTCTACATGAATTGAGTATTTGAAAGTTATCCTTTTAATATTGATTTTTAAACTACACTCAGTGAGATTAAATGAGTAAGATTAAATTCTGTGAGATTTGCTGAGAAACTCACTACAGTCCTAGCAGAGATCAATTTTTATAAATATCCTATATGTCCCAAATTCTCAAATTTGGGAGCACAGAGTTCTATGTCTGTTCATTAGTTCAAGCTTAATTACACTGCTCCGTGTTCAAATCTTCCAGATCCAAATCTTCTTGTTTTATCAACTTGAGAGTGAAATGTTAAAATCTCTTACTGTGAGGATGAAACTGTCACTTTTTCTTCGCTTTAAAGCATTAGAATAGCAGAATGGGTATCAACTGCAGTAGACTATCGGTGAAAAACCTGAAAGTAACACTTGCAAGAGTCCATTACTAACGAGTGGGCTGAGTCCACTGTGTGAAGGTTTACGGAGCCTTCAGAAAGCGTGAATTCTGCATCCACTCAGGAGACGTGTCAAGTGAGAAGGCACAGTGCCGAGTGTGTACGTGGTGATCCCATTTAGCAAACACCCCCTCCTCCCCGCCCCATGAGCATGCTCTGCGATGTTTGACTTTGGAAAAAGACTGTTAACACCAGTCCCCAAACCCCCAGGTGAGGGACTGAGTGAGGGCGTGCGAAAGAGGGCCTGAAAAAAATCTTTATTTCGCCTCCTACAATAGCCTCTTCTACGCTGGCTATTTAAGTCAGTTTACTGTGAAAAGTGACGGTGGGGAACACTATGTCAGGATTCCTGATAGATACACCCTGTGAAGACAAGCGAGTGACAAACGTGACCAGTCCATCTTGTTTATCACAGGGGCATGCACATGTTGGAATGAACATGAAGGAATATCTGGTAACACTAACTCAATCAGTGTTCCTATACCCCGGTGGGAGAATTATGGAGGCCCTTTGGCTGCTCCCTTTGACTGCTATGTGTGTCTATATTATTGACATTCATTATCATACATTCCTGCTGCATGAGAAGTTTTCAAAGTCACAGATGTAACTGCAAAATGGCTATGAATGCGCACATAAAAAACCACCAGCAGCAATAGTGCAGGTGCATCCAATGCCTGACAGGCACGTCCGACACTCTAAAGCACATTTCTGAAGCCCCTGGGTTTCCGCCCCAGAAGGTACAGGAGAGTTGAATGGCAGAACATGGACTGTTCGTGTAGCCCCCGTCATGGAGCTGGCTCCAGAGGACGATCTTGGCTTGAAAACTGGCTAGACTCTCATCTGTGACCAGCTCCAACCTCGCGTGAGCAAACTGCTGCTCAAGCCCGGCGTGCTGGGACATGTGCAGGGGCGTGGGGGCTGTCTCTGACCCCAGACCACCAGAGTCGCTAATTCTCAAAAGGGCCAGAGAAGACAGGGATATGGAGTGTGGTTTGTAAAAGCAAATTCAGGAGCTGGCACTTTGGCACAGCAGGTTAAAGCCAAGGTCTGCAGTGCCAGCATCCCATGTGGGTGCTGGTTTGAGTTCCAACTGCTCTACTTCACACCCAGCTCCCTGTTACTGTGCCTGGGAAAGCAGTGGAAGATGGCCTGAGTCCTTGGACTCAGAAGACACAGGAGACCCAGATGAAGCTCCCGGCTCCTGGCTTCATGCAGCTATTCTGGGAATGAACCAGTGGATCAAAAATCTCTCTCACTCTCTGCCTTTAAAGTAAATAAATAAATCTTTTAAAAGCATTTTTAAAAAAGCATATTCAGGGGCCGGCACTATGGTGCAACAGGTTAAAGCCCTGGCCTGAAGCGCCGGCATCCCATATGGGCGCCGGTTCTAGTACCAGCTGCTCCTCCTCTGATCCAGCTCTCCACTATGGTCTGGGATAGCAGTACAAGATGGCCCAAGTCCTTGGGTCCCTGCACCCATGTGGGAGACCCGGAAGAAGCTCCTGGCTCCTGGCTTCAGATCGGTGCAGCTCTGGCCATTGCAGCCATATGGGGAGTAAACCAGTGGATGGAAGACCTCTCTCTCTCTCTGTCTCTCCCTCTCTCTGTAACTCTGCCTCTCAAATAAATATTTAAAGAGCATTTTTAAAAAGCATATTCAATGTTCTAATCCAGTCTTTGATAGTAAAAGAAGCCTGTTTTCACAATACACGTTTGTCCAGTGGGGAGTATGCTGAACAGAACCAAGTTCCAGAGAGGTGAGAGAAGTAATGGGAAGGCAGGCAGATTATTCCTGGTTGAATCATGCTTAAGAGACTGAATTAACAGCTCCAAGTTGGAAAGTAATGTGATTCGAGTGTTTTATTGGATTATTTTGGCTGTGTGTTGGAGAAAGAACCGGAAGGAAACATGACGGGAAGCTCGCATTCAGCTCGAAATGGCCCTCGGGCTTCTTTTTTAAATGACTTACTTATTTGAAAGTTAGAGCTACACACAGACAGGGAGTGAGAGAGAGAGAGAGAGGAGAGAGAGAGAATCGATCTTCCATCCGTTGGTTCAGTCCCCAGGTGGCTGCAACAGCCAGCGATGGGCCAGGCTGAAACCAGGAGCCAGGAGCTTCCTCCAGGTCTCCCACGTGGACAGCAGGGGTCCAAGCACTCAGGCCATTTCCCACTGCTTTCCCAGGCAATCAGCAGGGAGTTGATCCAAAGTGGAGCACCTGGGTCTTGAACTGGCATCCATGTAGGATGTCGGCATTGCAGGTGGGGGCTTTACCAGCTACGCCACAGCACCCGGTCCTTGGACTTCTTAATTTGGGAGCGGGGAAGCTAAAGAGGCTCCAATTAGATTCCCAGGTTTCTCCCTTGGGCAACTGGTATGAGACTAGGATAGGGAATACTGGAAGCAGCATTGGGGTATTTGGAGGGGTTAAAAATAGTAGATCCTAAATCCATATCATTTTCATTTCCCTCACTCTAGGAGACAGACAGAGGCCCGGGAAGGGGTTCCAGGGCTGACACCCAATTCCAAGCCTTCTGCCACGTTTTTCAAACAGTGACCACCCCTGTTGCTCCCTCCCCTCGGCCCTCATGAGCTTCTTTGCACCCCACACCCCTCAGCTGATGACAGGAGGCAGAGAGTCATAGGGGAGAAAAAAAATCACACCAGCCTGAGGGTATAAGGACCAAACAAAACACAGGTAATCACTGATATATATCTTTTTATTATGCACAGATAAAAGACTTAAAACTGTGGTTATCAAAACTATACATCTAAGCATGTTCACAAAATTGCTGACACATTGAACAGAGGAAAGAATACAACTGGGGTGTTCAAACTGGCCACAGGGATTTTAAGGGTACTCTTTTTACCCTCATAGAAAATGAAAAACAGCAATCAAATCAGGCTCATTCAGGAAAAACCAGAAGAGAGAAGTATTGTATTTGGAAACTGATAATAGTACTTTTTAGAAAAACATCTGTCAGTTTCATGAACAACCCCTAGACAAAACAAACAGAAGAAAAATCACACACACAACTCACCCAACAAAATGTGCTCTGTTAACACAACCAGCAGTACAATCATCACTCAAACCATGAGGTAGTTACAGTACAAAAAGACTGGCACGCGTGTGCGCAGCCCACACACACTCACGATCATGCCTGCTAAGAACACACACAGGAAATGGATTTACAATCTTCTTATGAGCCAACGAAAAGACCATTTCTGTTTGCTTAGACAGAAGAAAGCTCTCTGACTTTTGGAAACCCAGTAAGAGCTGGTAAACAGAACATAGTGAAGAGCTATAGGATCTGACACAGACAATCTGCCTTGGAGTTTCAACAACAGTTCCTGCATCAAATGGAACACAATGGCCTCTGTGAAGGAAGGGTGAATCCTGCAAAAGTGACAGGGCTTTGGGACAGAGTGCAGCTGCAACAGAACTGTTACAGAAACCTGCAGAACATGTTATAAACGTAGAGCTTGTCCTTTATATTGAAACTGTGAAGAATGAAGCAATCAGGAATGCTGTAACAAGCTAGGGAGAAACCATCCTGCATTTTATGTCCATTTTTTAGAAACATTTCAGAAATACTCAACAACACTTACTCTCCAGTATGGGATCATGTTTTGTCGACGTGGACTTCTGGATCTGAGTAATGCTTCTGATAATGAAACCCAAACAAATAAAAAGTTACTTTTTCCTCTCTCTCTCTTTTAAAAATCTTTTGGTTTGCATCTATAAATTTGTAAATTAATTTTAAATTATTTATAAAATTGGTAATGTAGCATCTCTCTCAAAAATATACATTTAAATATATTACAGAAGTTATTAACTCTGTCCATCTAAGAAATCAATCTTTTAATACCTCCTAATAGCTAATTTTCTTTTTTTAACAAGATGAAAAGGTGTTTTTTTTTTAAAAAAAAAAAAAAAGCAAAGAACTGATCCAAAGTTTTCACAGTAACTGAAATTAGACATTTCATATGGAGTAACTTAAATTTATCTAAAACATTTAAATATATCTTTATACACAAATTTTTGTAGTAAAATATAGCTATAAGTGACTTAAAGACTCGTCTTCTTTGAAGACATCTTTAAACTTTTTTATACATAGAATATGCTAAAACAATACATTCTGCTGAAGGTTAGGCAAAGCGCATTTCAAACACAGGTAGCGTAACCTACATCCTCCAATGATACCTTTACATTAAAAAAAACATGAACTGAAAGAAAAAATTCCTCTAACCTCATGTCTTCTTCAATTGTTTGTTATCATCTGAAAATAATTCAATATATCAGCTCAGATAGCCTGGATAACTCAGCACTAAAATAATCTGGTTAAAATTATCCTGATTTAATGTCTACAGCCATCAAATCAATCAGCTTATTACTCAATGAGTGGCAACAATTATTTCTCAATGCCTGTCCATCTCCATTTACTTCTTTGCCATGTAGACACTGCCCTAAGGTTCTGCATTTCATCAACATTTCCTACTTAAGGTTCCATCATGACATCCTTATATTGAGGGCAGTGAGATGTGATATGAATTTTATGGGGGTAGAATCTAAATTGTACGTACAGAATTTTGGAGGAGAATTCTGGAAAAATAATTAATTTGTGCTAAAGCTATCTCTGAGCAATAAATGACCTGGCAGGGAAACTTCACTCTGGCATTTTTTTTTTAACATAGAGGTATCACTGAGCTTATTTTAGCTGCAAAGTGGCATCATTTAATCAAATTCACCTCCACTCTTCTTTGAGTTTGGGATATATATTTAAGGCAAGAGAACTAAGCAATCCAAATGAGTGTTCTTTTCCCTGTCTCGGCACTGCCTTGGTAGAAGTGGTGACACTATTCATGGAAGGGACAGGAATCCAAGAGGACCTGCCATACATTTGCATCTCATACCAATTTGGCTTTTTACAAAACGGCCTTTGAAAAAGTTTGACATGTTTTGAGTAGAAACACTCATTTTACCAAATATAACTTAATAAGTTCCAACTGGAAGCTTAGGACATTTTCAAAAGGGAAACTTGCCCTTCCTCAATGAAGAAAACAAATGTGCTAGAACATGACACGTTATGTGTTTGTACTTGCCTGCACATCCGCACGCATCACTGTGCAAATTCCTCCTTAGCCTTACGATTGAATTTCGCCCCAATTGAAGCACGAATTTATCAATACAAAGTGTCAGAAATGGCCATACATCTGCAGTTCCAGATTTCGACCATTTTCAATGTCTATATGCCTAGAAGAGATACAAACTTTGCATGAAGACATTTTTGCAGTCGGTGTGTGCGAGTGTGGGCAGAACAGGAAGCTGATAAGGTCATCAGCATTGGTTTTGGCCCAGGGCACCAGAAAGGAATGTCGCCCTGATGTGTGGCAGGATGCAGTCCCCAAGGGCAGCACCTTGCAAGCCCACACATCAGTCCCCACGGGAAGTGGCAGAGTCGGGCCGGAAGTGCGCAGCCAGACGAGGGGGCCAACTAGACAGGGAGGAGCACGCCACAAGGCGTGAAGTGTTTCTGTAGCTTTACATCCCGGTTCAGAGAGAAGAGACTTCCGCCGCGTCTCCTCGCTGGTTCCGCTGTCTGGCCATTATCCTTGACCACCTCCTTGAGTGTGGATGCTCTCACCTGGACAAAGCAGCATTTTAAAAACTGGGATGTGTTTCACATTGAAAGCCCCCCAGCCTGGGCGGGCTGGTGGAGCAGGCCACCACCTTAGCTTTCTCATGCAGACGCTAGTGTATGACACAAGTCCAGGGGCCACGGTGGGGTGGGAGTGGGGCTGTGAATACAAAAGGTGATCTTTATACTGAACTCCACTCTCTCTTTACAAGGGAACCAGCATCAAGCCTTCCGAGTCTGGACGCGTCCGGCCTTGCCCTTGGCAGTGGCTGGGCTGGGCTAGGCCGTGCTGCTGCTGGAGCACGGGGTACTCTGCGTGCTGCCGATACTGTGGGCCGCACTGCTGTTTTCTGAGGCCGGCGGGGATGTGGGGACTTGCTGCCTTCCCGCTGTTTCTCCTGCGGTTAAGGAAAGGGGGAGAGAAGCAGACATGTCAGGGATGCACCGTCCAGAAAAGGACAACACTCGCCTGGTCCCTCCCCTCCCCCACTGCCCTTCCATCCAACGCTTTGCTATACCTCAGACACAAGCCCCTGTCCTGGGTAGCTAGAAGAGCTTATGCTATAGGACTTGGTATGTAGTCACCTGCCTAATGGGTGGTTATGGTGTCTAGGACCCCTGACAGCTGGAGCACAGGCCCTGGATTTCTGGCCTGAAACCACTGGCCAGCACCTAGTCAGAGACCATCCCCCATTTCCCTTCACAAAGCTGCTTTAGGGTTTCACGGCACAATTTTTAAATGGTAGTAAGTGAGGGTGGCAAGGTGGGAGCCTTTATCAGAACGCACTTGTTAAAAGCTGAGATGGTGGGGTCTGGACTTCGCTCCAGCTCCAGCACAGCGTGCCTACACTTCCGAAGGCGGTGGGCTGGAGCCGGCGACTGCCAGCCAGCACGGGCCCTGTGCACCGAGGCTCTGCCTGGAGCGCACCGCGAGTGGCCCGGCACGCTCGGCCCTGCACTGCCGCGGAGCCGGTTCTGGAAGGAAGGAGCCCTCGGGTCACACACATGGTTTGCATTTCACAGCACAGAAACCCTGGAGTCGGTCTCGTCGCCAGCAAACCTGGCCGCAGCACAGGCCTGGAGAAACGGTGCCAGGCAAGGGAAAACGCTGGGGGCTCTCCCGCGGAAAACACTGCTTTTCTTTTCCCCATTAGGAATCCCCAGAATTAGAAGGCAAGAGCAGTACTTGGGGCTGCGCTGTGGCATAGTGGGTAAAGCTGCTGCTTGCAGTGTCAGCATCCCATCTGGGCACCAGTTTGAGTCCTGGCTGTTCCACTTCCAATCCAGCTCTCTGCTATAGCCTGGGAAAGCAGTAGAAAATGGCCCAAGTCCTTGGGCCCCTGTACCCATGTGGAATACCCGGAAGAAGCTCCTGGCTTCAGATCTATACAGCTCTGGTCGTTGCGGCCAATTGGGGAGTGAACCAGCAGATGGAAGACCTCTCTCTCTCTCCGCCTCTCCTTATCTCTCTGTGTAACTCTGACTCTCAAGTAAATAAATAAATCTTAAAAACAAAAGAGAGAGCAGTGCTTTCAAAATTTGCAAGGACAGTGATTTATCGACCAGCATTCTATACCTTGCTAAACTGTCTACTGAGTGTTTCTATACATAAGGACATTTGCATACACACAAGGTGTGAAAAACACTGACTTCCTACCTCCCCTTTAAACCTGGAAGAAAATGAAGCTAACAGAGGGCGGTGAAGCAGGCAGTTATTAATCCTAAGGAAAATGAGAAGTCATGCAGGAAAAATAGCAGAGATATTACACTGCACGGCTGCATTGTGGTTGGCATCCAGGTAGGCATAATAATGTAAACAGTGAGACAGACCTACCCGGAATTTCAGGATAATTCTGTTAGCAGGATGGGGCGGAGGAACAGGAAGGGAATGAATGAGATGCACGACGGGGCACGGGGGTGGAAGAGCTAAGTCCTTACTTTCCACAGTTGGTGGTCGACCATGGAGTCTGAAACTACAAAGCAGCAGCAGTAGACTGTTCTTTAGAGATATGGATTAATGTCCCCAAAAAATCAATTAGAAGTCAGAAACGGTGATCTGGGGAGTGAGACAAGAGGGTGGGGCTGTAGGGATCTGATTTTTTCATAAACATTCCAAAACTATTTCAATTTTTACCTATGTGCACATATTGCTTTGAGAAAGCTAAAAAGTTTGGGGCCAGCGCTGTGGCGCAGTAGGTTAATGCCCTGGCCTGAAGTGCCGGCATCCCATATGGGCACCAGTTCGGGACCCGGCTGCTTCACTTCCGATCCAGCTGTCTGCTATGGCCCGGGATAGCAGTAGAAGATGGCCCAGGTCCTTGGGCCCCTGCCTCAATGTGGGAGACACGGAAGAAGCTCCTGGCTCCTGGCCTTGGATCGGCGCAGCTCCGGACATTGCAGCTATCTGGAGAGTGAACCATCGGATGGAAGACTTCTCTCTCTCTCTCTCTCTCTCTGTGAACTCTGACTTTCAAATAAATAAATAAATCTTTAAAAAAAAGTTACATGTTTTATAAAGCTTCTTCCCTCTCATTAATAAAACAACAGATCTAATTTTGCATGTGCCTCTGGGGACCTTTAGGGACTAGGGGTCGGGGACCCCTGCACTAGCCAGGCCCCAGGAGCGTGAGGAATCTATGGCTGCTTCCCAGTCCTGAGCCTCGCCTCCTCTCTGCACCACCTTCAGAGAGTGAAGGAATGCTGGTTTCTCAACAGAATTACCTGGCCTTAAGAAAGCATCTCTTATTGTGTGCCCAGCCATTTTAGATTAACACACATTCCAAGTATTAAGTCAATATCCACAATTCAATGATGGGACTTGGCTTTGCGTCCAGTGCTGCAGATAGACTTGGGGGCATAATCAAAATAAAGGCATCCAAAGGAAAGATTGCTCTTGACCTGGAGGCAAATACCGCCTGAGCCTTCAAATATCCCGTGTACAAGCTGAGTCCCTGAGCTGAGGTCGCCTAGGAACTGAATGGACTCAGTCGGACTTTGCACACCCAGCTCTCCCCACCGGCCACGTTTCATAGGCTCCCTATTCGTCTGAACTCGCCACTGGCTGTCCCTGGTATGAAACACAGAGGGGGTGGACAAGAAACCACCACCTAATCCTGAAGTAGGCCTTCTCCACGCCCTGTGATGCTGCTATTCTTTATGAAAAGTAAGCCAGCTAAACCGGACAGCACAGCTTTGAATAAAAAGTGATCCTGAAGCTGTACCAAAAGCAATGCTAACTGATTCTGGAGCCCTGAATGATGGTTCCAAATGGGCCTAATTTATTTGGCTGGAAAGCATCACAGGAAGTTTTTTTGGTTTTGCTGTTCTTTAATCTGCTTACAAGCCCAGTTCTGTGTTCTCAGTCCTCAAAAGCTCCCCCTGGAGTCTCTGGCTTGAGAGAAAGGGCATCAGTAACAGCAAGCCTCAAGCTCGGCAAGCGGCCGTCCACACCATCCAGCCTGGCTTTGATTGGATCAGGCTTGTGTGTGTGGCTGTGCACAGGAGTCTGGTGCTGTCAAAGGATCTCAGTGGGCTGTGTTCCACTGAGTGCCACTGGCTGTCCTGCGTTCTGCCTGGACCTGGCAGCCTGGCCCTAGGTTAGCTTGGACAGTCTGAGGGTCCAGATCCATAACCAGAGCCAGCCTGTGGCTAAGCAGGCACACGGTTTAAGCACCTGTTTGAAATCCTCAGGACGGCAGAGTTTTCTTGGAGTACTTTCAAGTTCATTCCCCATTCCCAACTGACAACACTGGTTGCCAACAGCCCTAGAACCTCTCAGACATGTAGGAGTTAGAAAAAGTTTCAAAGACCTGTTAGCTTGAGATCTGAACATGTCAATAGTCCCATGATAAAATTATGTACTTTGCTAAAAGCTGACCCTCTGGTCCCTTTATAAACTGTTCATGAGGAAGAGTATTCCTACACTCATTCACAGATAACTGAATACCCAGAATCTTATATTCTCTTTCTCTTACACACACACACATACACACACACACATCACAGAAAGCATACTTTATTCAAAGGTTGCTGGTTGGGGCTGGCACTGTAGTGTAGCAGGTTAAGCTCCCTGTAGTGCCAGCATCCCATGTGGGCACCAGTTCAAGTCCCGGCTGCTCCACTTCTAATCCAGCTTCCTGCTAATTTGCCTGGGAAAGCAGTAGAAGATAGCCAAAGTCCTTGGGCCCCTGCACCCACATGGGAGACCTGGGAAAAGCTCCTGGCTCCTGGCTTCAGATCAGCCCAGCTCCAGCCATTGCAGCTGTCTGGGGAGTGAACCAACAGATGGAAGACCTGTCTCTCTCTGTCCTTCCCTCTCTCTCTTTCTCTGTAACTCTGCCTTTCAAATAAGTAAGATAAATCTTTTTGGTTTCTTTAAAGGTTGCTGGTTGGGAACAATAACTTGAGGCCTGAAAGCCTCACTATTAAACCCTTCTAAAGTTTCACTGAGAGGTCAGCTTTGGGCTGGATGGGTTCCCCATGCTGGGCCAGAAGGCTGTGTTCTCCTCCTGCCATAGCCTGAAACATCTCAGCCACAGAATATAGTATTTGAAGTGGAAAATCTGATGAAAAAGGGAATCAGAAATGTTACTAACAAAGGATCTCTGGGCCATATTTATAATCTCAATAGTTTGAGGTTTTGCAATTAAGAGGATTAAGATATGCCTCCCCAAGATGTCCTGTGGAGCCTCTCTTCTTTTTACACTGGTCATCCTTTCAGCTGGGCTAGTTGGCATGCACTGGTCTAATGGAGAAGGAATAAAAAGCTAAACAAAGAGGCCAAGCCTGTCACTTGCTTGTGACTCATTAATCTAGCACAATCCACAGTGTAAACTCCAAGTATCTGAGAGCAAACAAGATCCACTAGCTCTCCAGGCATGCCCCAGAACACAGGTCATTCCTTCCCAGATTTGTAGGGGACAAAGACAGGAGCCCCAGAGGGGTGGGCGGCCCCCAGGCTGCTCCCCTTGCTAGGCCAGCATTCTGTAGGGGGTCGAACATGTTCTCTGTTCAGACCAGGACATTTCAACCTAGGGAATGGTGGGGAATCCTGGGTCTTGGAGGAGCATGGTTTGACAATGAAGTGCCTTGATTAATTTTCAATTTGTGAAAATATATTTTGAAAATTGAAACAGCAGAAAGATATGAGAATTCTATCAAAGAAGACATGGAATAGGTTTAAAAACAGCTGAGAGATACTGGTTTAAGTCATTGATTTCTCTGGTGGACAGTGCTCCTTACCTTGGCAGGTGTGTTAATAAAAGCCTGGCTTCCTTCTTCACTTTTGTCCATTTATATGTCCACGCGGACATTTTTAGCTCTGAAGAAATGGTTCATATTTGCAGTTTGTCTAAACTAACAATCTTTAGCTAAAGTCTAACATTTATTTATTAGATTCTATACTTCACCAATATCACAATTTCAATGGACACAGTTTAAACTTTTCTAATACTGCTTAAAGCAAATTATATTTTTGCAAGACTCAATTTATACCAAGTCAGTGTGAAAGTAGAGAGAATGAACTTTCTCTCTCTCTTACTCACCAATGAAACACTGAGTGTTATGTGGCAGGCATTTGAGATGTGCACCAACTCATATTCCACAGTCACACTAACCTGTGTGCGAATAGATGTACCACAAGGCCCCCGTCAGGAGTGCTCCGATCACAAATGCTGCAAATGCAATGCCCATCACGGTTAGGGTGTCCAGACCATGGAAAATGGCTGTAAAGGAGGGAAACCAACACACACACTTCAAGTTAGTCTGCATCACACATTGCAATTTTATATTTGTTTTACATGCACTGTCATAAAGGCTGAGCCCTGACTCATAAAATCTGAGAATGTAATAAAAATTCTAATAAAATGTCTTTCATTGGATGGACAGTTGCCTCCTGGGACACCTGCAACCCATATCAGAGAACCTTGGTTTCAGTCCTGGCTCTGTTCCTGATCCCAGCTCCCTGCTAATGTGCATCCTGACAGGCAGCTGGTAATGGCTAGAGTAGTTGGGTCCTGGCCACCCATGTGGAAACCCAGGTTGAGATCAGGGCTCCTGGCTTCTGATTGGGCCAGCCTTGGTTGTTGTGGCATTTGGGGAGTGAGCCAGCAGATGGAAGATCTCTGTGTATCTGTCTCTTTCTGCCCTTTAGATAAGATAAATAAATAATTTTAAAGAGACTTTGCATTTTGTAACTTGTATTTTTTTCCCCTAAGGAAAAATGATATGGTCAGTCTCCAAATATTCTCACTTTGAACCACCTTCAACGGTGAGACCCTGCACTGAACACACACATCTAGAACTTTCCAAACATTTTCAAGAACATTTAAAAACAGGAAAGAGAACAGCAAGAAAGGAGGGGGACAGAGTAAGATTCCACTCTTCCTGTGGATTATAACACTTTCCTGATACTACATTAAACCCTCAACCTTCACAACAGTGTTTGTGTCATTTAAAACCACCGACTTTTTAACACTTTTCCAACCATGGAGAACGGAAATACTTGTCAGTGGGGACTGATGTCAGTTTTATGGTCAGCACAACATATAAATAGAACCAATTGTTCCTCCATTTGGCAAAGATGTTTTAGATTTGAAATTAATTCCAGGCCACAGAAATAGAACATTTCCTTTCATTTGAGAGAACTATCTTTTTGGAGTCACTTATAAAAAGTTAAAAATCAGTTTCCAAAGGAGAGGGGGTTGGGGGTACCAGGAAATCTCCAAGGTCTCTGTTTTCTGAATACTTCACTATTTCAGTGCCAGCCATTTCTACCTTGCACCTCCAACCGCAACTGCTCTCCAAGGAAATTACATCTCTCTGCCTTTCAGCTCACTCTGGGTAAGCGATTCGGTAGTATTATGACCCCTGAGCAGCTCCGTAAGGGGAAAGTATGTCACGGTGGAGGAGTCTGGAAGGATCCCAGCTCTGGTCCCTGCTCTTCTTGCCCTGTGTCTTTTGATGAGTTAATTTAACTCCTGAAGAAGGAGGATAACACAACTTCACCTACTGAAGGCAGGAGGCAAACAAAAGTAGTCTATAAAAGGGATGAGGATGCCCCAGAAATCAAAAGACATGGGGAGAGCTTTCTGGAGGTTAAGACCAACAGGGCCATCAACCTATCTAGTTTAGTCCACAGGAGAGGTTTTTAAAGATGATCCACCTTTCATGACTTCAGATGCAAAAATCTAGCATGATTGCAAAGTTTTAGTGAAAATATTCTAAAATTCCAAAGATAGAGATGTCATTTCAGTCAGGCTAGGTAAGTACAAGAGAATATATCCATGCGGTGTGTCTCCTATAATCATGTTAACATGATTCACTTAAGGCAAGGGTGTAGGAAGTGCTTTGTACAAAGGAACCCTGGTAGTGTGTATGTGAGGGCATCAGCCATGGAGACTAACCTGGGAGTCTTAGAGAGGGGAAAAAAGCAAAGACTTTCCTCACCAGGTAGCACTGTCTACAAGAGCTGGGGTGGGGGCATCCAGAAGGCCAGGTTCAAGTCCTGCCTCAATGCCAGTGATAACCATGGGCAAATCGCTGAAGTATTTCTGGGGCTAGACACTCTCCAGCTCATCGCTCTGGAGGACATGGTATCCCTTTCTTTCCCACATTCCCTTCCTGGATCCCCCATTCCTGGAACTAAACATTGCCACGAAGCTTTGGCTGCTAGTGCCCTTGGCACTCCTCCTCTGAGCAGGTAAGTGTCGTCAACAACACATAAAGCAAGTCACTCCCATAGCTGCACATTAATGCCTTCAGAAAACAACAGCCAGAAGCAGGCAAACCACTAAATCCTTTCTATAAAACGAAGTGGTCGCTGCCTCCCCATACATGCCAGTGGTCAACAGACTCATATTTTAAAACGGCAAAGGTGGAAGGGAAAAAGGAAAGAGGAGGCCGAAGGAAGGACAGAGGAAAGGAAGAAACAAAGCATGAAGAGGAGGGAAGGGCAAGGCGAATGAGAGTCCAAGTCTCCTTATCAAAACTCAACGTTTGGCAAACATTCATGAGCCAAGTCATTCTGAGAAAAGCCCAGGAGGGTTTATTTCGAAATAGTTGCATAAAGACTTACGTGGAGAAACTGGATTCGGTTCCTTAATGCTTGGACCTTTTTCTGAAACAAAAACATAAATCATAATTGCATTCCACAGAGACACTAATGTTTAAGCCAAGGGTCATCAGACTCTCAGCAGAAGCTGACACTTTGCTATTTCTTAATAACACTTAACTGCAGCAGGGGCAGGTGTTTGGCCTAATGGTTAAGATGCCCGTGGCCCCTGCTGGAGTACCTGGGTTTGATACCCCGCTGTGGTTCCTGACTCCGGCTTCCTGATTATGTACATCCTGAGAAACAGCAGGTGATGGCTCAAGTAATCAGGTCCCTGCCACCCACTGGACTGAATTGCTGGCCCCCTACTGGGGACTGCTGCAGGCATCTGAGGAGTGAACCAGAGGACGGGAGCTGTTTCATTCTCTGGGTCTTTCTGCCTCCCAAATACATTTTTAAAAAAATTAAATGTACTTTGCAAAAGTTCTGTCATCAATGATTCGCATTAGATATCAAAACTATCACATGGTTACCCTCCCAAATTTTAAGCAATCCACTTTGCTCACAATCAATTGCACAGGCTCTCCAATTGGAAGGCAAGTACCTAAACCAAGGGAGTTTGACTCTCACAGTTCCTGGGTGTGTGTACTTTTATATTTACTTACTAAAGGACTCGGTATCCATAAATACCATTCTTCTCCAGTGTCTCCACAACATTATGCCACTTTCAAGATACTCTTGTAGCATCACGTGCAGATTTGTAAAAGCACTGCTGTTCTTTGATCCTTACTGCCATTACCCCAAGTCTAGCTCCTTGTCATGCATCTGCGTTATCACAGGTCTCCTGGTCTCCACCGCTACTCTCCCTTCCAAACACTTTCTCCTCCATCTGCCCCTAGAGTGAAGTTGTCCAGGGCCCAGAGCTGGTCATAGTATTGCCCTGATCACTCCCCTTAAAGATGCCCCTTCATTGATAGGGGGAACACCCAAACTCTTTAGGTGGTGCACAAAGTTCTCCCTCCCTCTGCCAACAAGTCTCCTTTCTTGATGGGGTCTTTCTTCCAGCCAGTGTTCCGAACACTTAGTTATTTAAACTCCCCAAATTCTCCATGTCACCACTCTTTGCAAGCCACCCCAATACACCTTCCTCCCCTAGACCTGCTTTGCTGGCATCTCCTACGGGAGGCCTTTCCTGCCTCTCCCACGGCTCCATCTCCACCCCAGCTGGTCTGGTTTCTCCCACCGCTGCTCATTCCACCCTGGTTCTGTTACACATATGCTGTACCACGGTGTGGTTCTATGGTTGTTTTTCTGCTGTAAGGACGAGGTCTAGTTCTTACTCATGGGTATATCCTCAGGGCTCAGAATGGTATGGGGTAGACCTCCCAGAAGAGTTTGGTGAAAGCTGATTAAAATGTCGATGTACTTTCAGAACGTAGAGGAATGGAGGACACCAGGAAGGATACTAGCAAAATGCTTCCGTGCCTCCACGTTTCCAGAATGCTTTTGTGTTCACAACATGTTACACAGCCAAGATCTCATTTGAGGCTGACAACAGAAAGGGAATTTTTATCACTATTTCACAAATGAGCAGCCTGCAACTCTGATATCATGGGACCACCCAAGGTCACAGCTGGAAAGCATGAGGGTAGGGATTGAACCAGGATTCTGGATTCCTGCCTGGCTGCCTAACAGACTGGTATGTACTGCTCTGTCCTGCACTGGGGAAATGCTCATGAAGTACCTCCTTGTGCACGGTGAGAATGGTCTAGAACAGTGGTGAGGAAACCATGGCCCACCCCTTATTTTTAGATGGCCCATGAGTCAGGACTGGAGTTCACATTTTGAAATTTAAAAAATAATCAAAAGAATATTTTGTGATATAACATGTTTTGAAATCCAAATTGACTTCAGCAGTGAGGTTTTACGTGAACATAGCCACGCTGGTTCATTGACACGCTGCCTGCGGCTGCTGACACAACTACAGCACCGAGCAGCTGAGACAGGGACTGCACAGGCCACCCATCAGCACGGTTCTCCATCTGGTCCTTTCTAGAGAAAGTGTGCCGAGTCCTGCCACAGACTCTGGCCCTCTCAATAGAGCATGGACGTGGCACGGTTCAGCGCCTTTTTCATCACCACCTTCATTCGATCAAAAAATGGACACGTGCCTTGCGCTTGAAGCCACGCGAAGCCAAAAGAACTTGTGAAAACTGGACTGAGATGAGGAGCAGAGGAGTTGATGCTTACAAAAATATAAAAGCTAGACAGAATGAAAGGCGGGTGGATGGTCACTGTACAGAGTCAGCCTTCTCGGCGGGGCTCACTCACACGCATGCAGCAGACTGACCCTCACTCAGCTCCAGGGAAGGAGCCCACGGGATGAGCTCAGTAACATGGCAGCCCCTGGAGGAGGGCACAGGCCACAGTGACACTCAAGGAAAGATTGCCTGGAAAACCTAAACGACTGTGCGTCTTGAAGGGAATCTAATTCAGTGTGCAGAAAACACACACTCATTACACTCACAGCAAAATACACTCTCCTGGGTATGAGCTATTGGCAGTGGTAACAGGGACACCTTACTTTTGTACACTGATAGGCCATTTTACAAGGAACAAAGAGCCTTCACTCATTTCACTTTAAACCCCCAAGAATCCTATGAAGTAGGGGTATCTGATCACAAAGTGTAAGAAGCAGTAGTTTGCTTCACTGAACTGAGTCCAAAGGCATTCAAAGGCCTCTGCGGCATGCATCATGGGAGAAGTCCACGTTCTGGGAAGAGTTCCATCCAATCAACCACACGTGGTTCAAACTTTGTCACTCAGAATCCCCACGTGGCTTAAAAATGATGATTCTCTCCTAAGAGACCTCACATGTAAGAATTTGGGTTTTATAGCAAGCCTGTGTGATGGATGACATTGTTTTAAAACTCTTAATGGACTTAGGTTGTGATCTAATCTTCCGCCCGACTCCACACAGGGACCTTCCAGGGAACTAAGCAGAAACAGTCCTTGCTCATTCCCCGGGGTGAAGTTCCTTCATGACCGTGCATAAACAGTAAGAAGCACACACTGCAGAGCTGGGGGGAAGGGGCTTCTTACCCTCCCACTTTTTGCGTCATGATGCCCAATAACCCCTGAGTGTAACTAAAATAGTTTGATCTCCACCAGAACCTATAATCGCATTGGCATGCTGAAAGAAAAAGAGTGGACATAACAATATTTACTTTTGGTTTAAGGATAAGACTGCATGAAAGGAATCCTAGCTATTGCTGTAAGAGAATTTTAACAATAGATTTCTTTACAGAAAGAATAAACTATAATCAACATTCTGAATTAAATCTTTTCATATACGCTGAGTAAATTTTGGTCTACCTCTAGAACCAAACTTTCCCTCCCCAGATTGTGAGGGCTGGTTTTCATAAATGAGGTATTTCTGGGGTTATGCATGAGTAACCGGCCACAGCTTTTGGCCTCCAATTTCCAATTCAGTTCTTCTAAACACTGTAAGCCTAAGCAGGACTGCAGGGAAACCAGGCGTCAAACTGGTAGACACACCTATTGGCATTTGACTTATTTGTTTCTTTTCCATTTTATTTGAAAGGCATAGAGACAGAGAGATAGAGTCGGCCCATCTGCTGGTTCACTCCTCAAATGCCTGTCACATCCAGGGCAGGGCCAGGCTGAAGCCAGTCGTCTCCCAGGTGGGTGACAGGAATCCCAAGTATTTGAATCACCATCTCCTGCCTCCCAGGATGCACACTAGCAGGAAGTTGGATTGGACGAGGGGAGCTGGGAATTGAAGCAGGCACTTCAATATGAGACATGGGCATCCTATGTGACTTTAACTGCTGCTCCAAATGCCCGTCCCTCTACTGATATTTGGCAAAGATGGAAGATAGCAAGAGGAAGTCTCCTCCTGGAAACTCAGGAGGCCTTTGTGCAGATCCTGTTTAAGATATGGATTTCACTAACGGTGCTTCACTGTTTCTGAACCCCTGCTCTGGTTTCTTTCAATATTTATGGCATGCATTGCAATGGGTTGTTCATTTATCTGCACCTTGCCACTAGGTCTGGGGATCTCAGCTGAGTGTGATTTTTATCCCCAGGGGACATATGGGAACTACTATGGGTATTTTGTGTTGTCCAACTCAGGGAGAGGTTGCCACTAGCATCTAGTGGGTAGAGATCAAAGATGCTGCTAGACATCTTACAATGAACAGGACAGCCCTTCCTCTGTTCTCCCCCAGCTAAGAGTCATCCTGCCCAAAATGCTGACAGTGCTGAGGCTGACAAACACTACACTAGACCGTGAAGACCTTAAAGGTGGTATAATTTGCTTGCTTTATGTTTAGCATATAGCCGGTACTTGGTACACACTTCTCTGGATTAAATAACCATAAATACCATGTATATCTTATCAGGTACTTTTCCCTAGTAACCCAAGCTTCACATCGCTTTCAGAGCAGTCTTCCTAAGTGATCTAATCAGTAATTCCCTACTCAAGATCTTTTGATCGTTCTTAACTTTCAGAGGTGCATACTAGAATATTTACAGATGAAATTAAATGTTTGAGTTTCCTTCAAAACAATCCAGTGAGGGACAGGAGTGACAGAACAAGATTTGCCATGAACCAGTCATTAATGAAAACAGATCGTGGGTTCATCATCTTCTGCCTGTTGAATTCTACTACTCTGTTTTTGTATATATTTGAAATTTTCCAAAATAAAACATTTTTAAAATGTGAAGCATAAAATTTTTTTTAAAATTTATTCATTTATTTATTTGACAGGTAGAGTTACAGACAGAGAGAGAGAGAGAGTCAGAGAGAAAGGTCTTCCTTCCGTTGATTCACCCCACAAATGGTCACTATGGCCAGGGCTCAAGGGATCCGAAGCCAGAAGCCAGGCGCTTCCTCCTGGTCTCCCATGCGGGTGCAGGCGCCCAAGCACTTGGGCCATCCTCCACTGCCTTCCCAGGCCACAGCAGAGAGATGGACTGGAAGAGGAGCAACCGGGACTAGAACCCGGTGACCATATGGGATGCCGGCGCTGCAGGCGGAGGACTAACCAAGTGAGCCATGGCACCAGGCCTGAAGCATAAAATTTTAAAAGTCCCTATGAGACTCCTCTTGCATATTAGATGGAGACCACTACCTTAACCTGTTAGCTAAGCATCTCCACCACCTCTCTCAGATTTCCCCTCATCTCTACCTTAACCTGGGAACAAAACCTGGCTGGTCCTTTGGAGTGTTTTTATCCTGGAAAGATCAGATGTGTTCCGCAAAGTAATGTTTCTCTTGAATGAACTTCCCAATTGACATCCACAGCTTTCCCTTCCACTTCCTTGCCGCCATCCCTGCCAAACCCCAGTTTAGCTAACAGGTCGGGAGGAAAGAGTGGAAATTAACATGTACTGAGTGCCCATGATATGCAGGTGCTTTTACTTTTAAAAGGCTATGTGGTGGGACTATGGAGACAATTTGGTATTCTAAGCATTTAACTTGCTAAGAAATATCATACGTAAGTCACTGCAAATACGGGAAAGGTATTTATTGTTGTTTTATGTGCACACATTTTTGTGTTTGTACACTAAGTTTCTGAGAAATGAGTACCCCTCTCCTCCCTTTCATCATTTTTCAAATCATCGCTGACGTGGTATAACCGTTTTTATTGTGCAAACCCAGGTATTCTCAAATGCTGTAAAGAGTAGTCACAGCATCCAAAGTAAACAGCAGGAACATGCCTATACTTCAAAATGTTTCAGAAAATATGGCAGGATGGCACCACCTCAACTATTTTAATTGTTTTGCCATAAACCATAAAATGCATAAATGATTCATGTTTTCTGAAGCTTTTTATGAGTTACAATCCAAAGTAAGAGAACTTCTGAACTTTAATGAGCTCTCAAATAGTGAACACGTTTCCTACCTTAACCCTTTCGGAGAACAGACATTTTTTTCTAAAATTCTTCTTCCTTTGAGGTCCTAATCATTAGAGTATTAGGATGTTACCTTAAATACCAATGCACATTGTAAAAAGAGGGGGGAAGGGTAGGGAAGAGGAATGTGAAGAGGCAGATGTCTATATTATTTATTAGAAACTATAATCAACCTCCCTCTAGATCAGACACAGGGCTGAAGAGCACAGGCTCCGGAAACAAAGTGCCTGATTTGAATTCAGATCTACCATTTATGTTTTATAACATATAACATAAACTTGACCTGGGGCCAAGTTTCTGAACCTTTTTTCATACAGAAGTGCTATGGGAATTAAATATAATACTCCATATAAAACATCTGGCACAAAGCCTTACATAAAGTAAATGTTCAACAAGTGTTAGGTCATCATCATCTCCAACATTCTCTTCGTCACCAGCACCAGCACCTACCACGGGAGGTTTAAGTGATAAAAGAAGGGCTGACCCAATGCTGGTTCCCAAGGCACTCCAAGTTGAAAGAGGAGGTTCCATTCAAAACAGTGGCACAGAGGTGGGCTGTCAGCCTAGCAGTTAAGATGCCTGCATTTCATATGGAGTGCCTGGGTTAAAGTCCTGGCTGTGCTCCCAATGCCAGGTTTCTGCTAATGTGTACCCTGACAGGCATTGGTGATGGCTGAAGTAGCTGGGTTCCTGTCACTCATGTGGGAGATCTAGATTGAGTTCCTGGATCCCAGCTATAGCCCAGCCCCAACCCTGGCTCTTGTAAGCATCTGGGGGGTGAACCAGCAGATGGAGGTCTGTCTCTGTCTCTCAAATAAATAATTAAAAGCAATAACAATAACAAGCCAGAGTGGTCCAGAGGAATAACCCAGACTTATTTCTTTAGTCTTGCTGGCCTACTCTCCTTGTCCATAGGAGGAAGAAACACCACCTGATGGATGTCCACACCATCAGCAGTGTGGTCAACAGCAACTCTTGGCTTAGGTGTGAAGTTGCCAATGAAAGCCTTTACCTGCAGCCCTAGAAAATCCAAGTGCTGACAAATCTCAACCAACAGCCGGGAGAGCCAGAGCTTTGCCATGGCCTTCAGAGGGCACAGAGGTAATAGAAGGACAGGGAGGGGTCCCCTTGGTTGGGGAATTTCTACCCCGAAAGTTCCTCCCAGTAAGTGATCTACCCACTTCCAGCAAGTCAATCCTATCAGGCGACTGCTCACGTTCTCTTTTCAAATGAGTAATCCAGTTCCCTGTGGGGCAGAGGGAAAGCACAGACTCCGGTGGTCTTCACTGGGGTGAAATGAGTCCAAGGGAAAGAAACATCGAGGTGAGAGGAGGCCTTCACAGAGCTGAGGACTGCCACCAGGAGCCCTAATCCATTCCCTGCAAAGCCAGAAAGCAAATCTGCATATGAGCCCTTGGAAGCAAGTCAATCTTCTCAATTTGTTCAACAAACCTAAGCAATAACCTTTCTCTAGGCACTGGCTCCTCCACTGAAATCTAGCCTCAATTAGCGAATCTCATGAAACTGCCTTGATAGTGGTAAAAGTTTCTTCTTGAACTTTTACATAAAGAAGGCACTGAACTTTTGGTATAATGACACCAAGTTTAAATAAAAGTAATTACCTAATTTACAAGAGAAATTACTTAGGAAAACACGATCAGTCTTAAAAGCAGCATGTGAATGAATTGCTGGAAGTTATCGTGCTGCAGTATTAATGCCTAATTATTGTCTGGCATGGGAAAGAGCAAGCTGCTGCCTTCAATTACCAGCAGCATTACCTCTCTCAAAATAGGTGAGGGTAACAGACGGAGCTCAAGGCGGCAGTGGCTATTGTGAAACCACTTTCCCAGTACAAAACAGAGCCAACTGTTGCCCAATTGCAATCACTCTGCAACACAATTAATTTATTCTTATTTCTTACCTCTGAGCCCAATATAAAGGAAGGAGTATGTGGGCAGAATATTTACCAAAAAGACTGTATCTCTTACAACTTTCAAATGGTTGAACACCAGCCAATACAATAAAACAAAAAGCAATAAAAAATGATGCTGAAGAACCAATAAGCATCTACTGTGTACATTTTATACCAACTTTAGGATGGCTGGAAAATAAATCAAAAACTGTTCTGCTCCTTCAAATAGCACTGTTGAAGGTTTCAGATGAAAAGGCTTCTGGGAATCATCTGGTCCAAACCTCTCCTTTCCAGGTAAAGATAATGAAACCCCAAGAGGTGAGAGGAGTTCCCATTAGCAGAGAAAGCTAAGAGCCACGCCCTCCACAGCCACGCCCCTAGGAAGAGGGCAGGTGCCACCATCAGATATGACCATTGGAATGGCACTGATTTGTTCACAAAGGTCATTCAACTGAATGAGAGCAGAAAGCATCCACATGCCTCCACTCTTGTAAGTGCTGCCTGTGCCCAAGCCACTCCTGCTGTCTGGTCTTGCCAAATCCTGCTCCAACAACTCACACCAGAAGTGCCATCCCAAGACTTCCCCAAACCCTAGGTCTGGTGCCAGCACTGCCCAGGTCTCCCAACTAATGCCCAGCAACTGCAGCCAGCCTGCTCAGTGGCTTCAGCCAAGGCCTTTGGTGCCCATGCTTCTCTCTGGCCCTTGTGGTAGTAGGAGGTAGCCTGCAACCCTAGCCCTGAAACACACTGCCCTGGAGGCCCGGAATCCACTTCCACTCTCCTAGCCTTCTCGTGGCTTGACACTCAGATGGCAATGTTTCTGCACAGTGGTAGGCAATTTCTAGACAGTGACAACTGGAATTACCCGAGATGCCTCATGTGACAGTTGCTTCTATCCTGAGATGGGGATGGCTGCCTGGGGTACCCTTGCTTGCTCATGGCCCTTGGAGCCACGGGGCCTCCTATCTGTTTCTAGCAGCTCCTTAGGGCCCAGCTCTGCTTCTCTGCTGGTCTGAATGGCCTGGCCAGTGCCAGGGTGCTGCCCTGCCTGTCCTCCCACTGACGCCACACCTCTCAGGGTACATCCTGACTCTTCTGGAAGACACAGCTCCCCACCTGTTCCTGCATGAGTACCAAGATGCACCCTTGGCATCAAGCCACAAACGTGATTGTGCAAAATTCTGAAAATGGAATTACAAAAAGCAGCTGTCGATCTTCCTCCTGCTGTGACGCCTCAGAGGAGGAATCTTCCCCTACATACCACCCTCTCAAAGGCACCTGTGATTTTGATGAAGCAGCCCAACAGCATGTAGCTGGCACAGGCATGACCAGTAGATCGCCAAAAAACGGGCTGTGGCACCGTGTGCAATTGCCAGCATGCCAGGTGGAACTCTAACCCTTGTCTGCATACTCAGCAAAGAACATACAAATGCCAGGGAGAGTAACAATATGACAGGGTCCACCTTGACCCTGATCTCATTTGTTAGCAAGGAGATCATTGACAAGTGTTTCACAATTCAGCCACAGTGGCAGGAGGAGAACCAATGAAAGACTGCTTAGGCCAAGAGGCTACGTCTCAAGTTACAAATGGGCCCTGATTCTGTCTCTGAATAAAGCAGCGCTGAGGCTTCCCTTCTCCAACTCCACCTCCCAAAGCGCACCTCTGGTGTCTCCTGCCTGGTGGATGACAGCCAGGGGCTTGGTGAACGTCTTCTTATTCTGCATCATGGCCCAGATCATGGAGGCGTCCAGAGAGGTGCAGGCTTCATCCGGGGACACGCACTGCAGAGGGGGGGAGCAGAGCAGAGTGGGGGTCACTCAGCCTGTGGCTCACAGCTGCTTGCTACAGAAAGACAAGAGATCTGGATGTATTTCAAAGAACCTCAAACAGTCTGGGAGATGTGGTGGCAGGCCCAGTGTGTTTCCAGCTGCATTTGAAGATGCGAATTATCGCCAGACACCTTATAAATATTGTCTTTTCCCTCTCCTCGTCTTCCCAGAAAACAACCAGAGGCGTGGGTGTCACTTAGCTTGAAGACTAGAGGAACTAGGTGACGAACGCTGGCCCCTGACCCGCTGTGATGTGTGATTTTGGGAAATGCCTGGCCTTGTGTTGTGAGGTGACAGGTTTTACATTTTTTTTTTCCAGAAAGATAATCCTGTTGTCCAGTTTGTTTGATTTTTTTTTAATCCTGGCACAGGCTCATGCAAAAATTAAGCTTTCCAAGGTCATCTGCTTTTAATGCTACAGAATGCAGGGCCTGGGGAGTTGTGCCTAGGTGTGGAGGCCAGGAGATCAGCTGCTTATAGCTCTTCTGAGGCCTCAACCCCTGGCTGCACTACATCTGCTGGGAAAAAGTATCATCGCTCTCTAGGACCTCTTCCCTTAAAACAACTCTGGTTTTTTATCTGTGCTCATCAACTGGTTAAATCCAATGTAAATGACACCCACTGGCTTTTGGGGTCAGAAAAAAATACACCTATTGTTTACAAAGCCTTCAGCCAGGCATCCTGAAAGGCTGATAACTCAGCTCTTGCTCCTCTGGACAACAGAAGAGCAAAGACTTCAGACTTCATGGTCACTGCTGCTCTGAGCGACAGAGAGGGCAACCCCTCACCACCCACAACAGAGGAGAAAAGCCTTTGCCCTTGCCCTCTTGTAGGGGGAGATGATGGGGGTTCTGTGGAGAAGTGAGACAACTGAAAAAGATTTGCATTTGACTTTGCTATGAGTTCTTCAGACTCTTCTTCCTGAGTCTGTGATTCTAAGTCTGACCTAACGGCTGACCTTGGGCAAGACACTTAACTCCCCAGGTCTCAGGTTCATCAGAAATGAAAGTTTTGAGATCTTCCTTCTGCAAGACTCTTTGCCTTGCTCACAAGTCATACAAAGTACTCAGAAATCACTAGAAATGGGGCCAGCAATGTGGCATTGGGAGTAAAGCTGCCTCTTGCAATGCTGGCATCCCACATGGGCACTGTTGGAAGTGGCTGCTCTGCTTCCAATCCGGCTTCCTGCTAATGGCCTGGAAATAGCAGCAGAAGGTGGCCCAAGTGCTTGGGCCCCCGCACCTATGTGGGACACCTGGATGAAGCTCCTGGCTCCTGGCTTCAGTGTGACCCAACACCGGCCACTATGGCCATCTGGGAAGTGAACCAGTGATGAAAAAAATATATATATCTGTCTCTCCCTTTCTCTGTAACTCTGACCTTCAAACAAATAAATATTTCAAAAAAATTGTTACTAGAGACATGGAAATATTATCTATAAACATCAAATGGGGAAGATAGTGGCAACAGCTTGTCTACAGCCTCCACCGTGCACACAACGAGCTATGGTCACATCTATGGTCTCGTCTGCTCCTCCATATAGGAGGGAAGCCAGGCCTTAGGATTTCAGCTTTATAGACGAGGATATGCAGGCTCTGAGGGGTCGAGGGACTTGTTTAAAGTTCTGTTAGTCAGTGGCGGGCCTGCCTTCTCAGTCGCCAAGCTCTTCCCACTGTATTCTGCCTTACGAGTAAATGGCCACTTGAGGTTTAGGGTCAGCTCCCATCATGTCCTCTCCTGGGACTTAGAGCTCTCCTTAGAGTGCTCTGAAAGGAAATACTAGGATTAGTGCTCACAGATTTACACACTGAGAAACTGGGGTGTTCCAGGCCAGGCTTAAGGAAAAGGAAACAGCCAAAGCCACCAGTAACGACCCCCAGTAACTGCCAGGCCTCCCCCTTGGATCCCTAACTCCCAAAGGTCATTGTTCCACCCGCAGATAGCAGCTGGCCATTGGAGGAAGGTGAATGCCACAAGGCTAAGGCATCAACATTTCCAAAAGCAAAGGGCTGAACAGATTCCAAGTCAACCTGTGTGTGTTCCTGGATGATCACAATCAGACTTGCTGTATTTTCATTTACGAGCAAAATTCTCTGTGGCATTGTCAGAGAAATGGGCTCCCGGGGAAATACCAGGCTGCAAGGGATTCAGAGCAATGGTAATCTAGCTGGTGATGAGACTCTTCCTCCCACCTCTACACCCACTTCTGACAACCTGTGTATTAAATGAGGGAGTTCCACGCACGCATTATAAATGATACAGCTTGATTCTTGGCTCTCCAGACAATGATTGATGGGTGGCGATAAAATTAGTTTACATGCCGTGTGCATCTTCAGAATGAATGCGCATATGGAATTACACATCATTAAGCCAGCTCACAGAAACGAGCCTCTGGCAGAAGATGCCTTTTACGCACACAAGGCCAACTAATGAGGTATCATAATTAACCTTGCAGATCCCCCTGCAGCACGGCTCGGGAAGGTCAGATGGTTCTGATTTCTGTTATGGCAACAGAGCATCCCAGTTCAGTGTGGGGAGCGACACAAGACAAACAAGATGAACTGATATGAAGCTGAGAAAAATTAAAATATTTGCTAGTTTCCCTTAGCGGTCCCCCTGAGACCGGTCAACCTTATAACTCACACGGAGAAGGTCAAAAAACAACTACAACGCAAGCCTCAGTGGGGCCCGGAAAGATTAATCCGCACACTGAACTTATCCTTTCGGCTCACTGTGCTCTTGGCGCTGCACTCTATCTGAAGAGCAAAGATCAGGCCAGACCTCTCGCTCCCTCGATGGAAAACAGCCGTGATTTATTGCTCATGAGGTACTATTAAGTAGCACGCATGGAAAAAAAATCATACTGTCAGGATTTATTCTCTAAGACTCCATAAAACTCACAATTCCCTGCTAACTGACTTTATTACTTCAACTGGGCAGTTCCAAAAGCAAAAACCTCAACCTGCATTAACCTGGGATGCAACGTCTCGGGCAGGTCACCGCCCCACCTAAGAATGCCAAGGGCACAGTCAACGGCCGGAGGCCCACTGACCTTTGGCAGTCTCTGGGGGTCTTTCTCCCTCTTGGTACACAACGTCAGCTCGCACTGGAGAAACAGCAGCGAGGTGTTGAACACGGACTTAAAGACAAAGCTGAACCGCTTCTTGTCAATCTCGGCTTGCAGGATGGGAAAGTGCACCCTCTTGGGACTGTAGAACTTTACAGACTCATCTTTGGGACAAATGTTCTCAATGATGGTGTAATCAGACAGCCTGTCCGGGTTCGAATATGGAGAGATAAAACAAGTTTGGATGGCAAATCCCAGCTCTTGGTCAGCCTTGGTGACAGACACCTAGAAAAGAACAGAAAGAGGAACTCAGAACTCAAAACCTCACGTTTGCTTCAGGTGCACAGGCAGTGCACCTGGGGAGGAGATGCTGTTTATCTTCATTGTCTTAACATATGTACAGCTTTCTTTCTAACTGCCACAGTAACAAACGCTCATTGAAGAAAGAGATACTTTCCATCTAAACTTGATATGGATGGTGACAGTAAGCTATTTAGTGCAAATGCCAGCCTGGAAGATTCAAATACAAGATAAATATGTCTCTCATAAGCCCTCAGAGAGATAAAAATAAAAGCACACCATACACCTCAAGTGAATTTTCCCTAATAAATAAAACAGAGGCAAAGCCTTTAATGTCTTAATAGTGTATACTTGTAAGACAAGCTCTTTTTTAGAATTACTCAAAAACCAAGTAGAGAGGCAGAATCTGTTCCACCCAGGCGGGGAAGGCCGAGCTTCTGCACGGCACTGACCCAGAGTAAACGGCAACACCGCCGTCAGCCGAAGCCCCGCTCCGCTCCGAGCAGGCCGAGCTGGCCCCTGGTGCCGGACGTCATGCACGGTGCAAGCTGGTGGCCATCACAGGCCTGGCAACGCATCCCAGCTGCTCGCAGGACCCTGCCAAGGACTCTCCCTTCACTCGTTAAGCCCAGGGGTATTTTAAGGGAAATCTAAAGTAGAAACGGTTCCAAGTCATCTACACTTCCCTCTTACAAAACATTTGCATGGGCCATGTCCAAACCTTGTTAAGGTTCTTTTCTTTAGAAACAGGAAGTAGTGTGGAGCCAAGTGTAAACAGAATTCAAACCTCAACTATCCTGAACTCGGCTAAAGCCTCAGGGCCAGGCTGGATTCTCCATTCGGCAACACACGAGTAACCAAGTGAACTGGTTCCCCCACCCCCACCCCGATCCCCTGCCTCATTCCTTGGCTAAACTGATGATCAAAATAAACTGAAACACTTGAGAAACACAGTCTCTACACACCCACAGGCCACTGGACTCAGAATCCTCTCAGAAGACATGGAGATATAAACAAACTTTCCATTCTGAGATACCCGGGGGAAACCCCTGACACTGCCGGGGCCTTGAACCCATAGCACTGTTGTGAAAGGTCCTTCCAGGGCTAACTAGGCACGGCCCGCCACCACGATGACAAGAAGCAGGAGGGTGCTACTCTGGCCGTTACAATATGCACACTCTGCAGTGGCGTTCCACACGCCGTTAGGCTTCATTGGTTTTTCACACTCTTTCTGACGAACAAGATATTCCACCTTGGAAAGACAGCAAAGGACATACATCTTATTACCAAAGAGCACCCTTTAATGCAACCTCAGAATCCACAATGCAAAAATGTGTAACAGAACCGCTGAAAATCTTTAAACTCGAAGAATGAATGGATAATGGTGGGATGTCTGGGTTACTCAAAATTCTGCCTTAGAGGGGAAAAATCACATCAGCAAGACTGGAAATGAATGGTAGCCAGATTCCAGGCTTGGCAAGAGAGGCAAATCTGAAGAAATCACACCCTGGGACTAGATTTCCTCACCTACAGAATGAGGACTCTGATACCTATGAGACACAGTTACTGTGAGAATTAGCAAACTGGACGATACACACAAACAGCACAGCTCCGAGTTGGTCAGTGCACATGGCTTGCTAGCAGTACTACTATTCCAGACTGAAATTCTGGGGGCTATAAACGATTCTTTTTTATGTCCCCAAAGACAAGGAATTTAAAAAGAAACTGACATTATATGACCAATCTAGAGATGACCAAAGAACAGGTGGAAAAATGGGTAATGTCTTGGGTTAAAGGAAGAGACTGTGGTCAAGAATAGAGGATTCTGGGAGGAGGAAAGAGGGATATAGGGGAGAAGAAACATGGAAATAGTTTTTAGACCCAATCAATGCCTTAGCTAGCTTTACTGGACGTAAGGAAACACTTTTCCTATCACAAGTGGGGTTCAAACCGGGAGACAAAGACCAAGAAAAGGTGCTATCCTATTAGCAAAACATTCACAGATTTTCTTGTATTTTAGGTAATTTTAAAACACTGGGCTGGCACTGTGGTGTAGCAGTTTAAGTCTCCATCTGTGATGCCAGCTTCCCATGTGGGTGCTAGTTTGAGTCCCAGCTTCTCCTCTTCTGATCCAGCTCTCTGCTATGGCCTGAAAAGCAGAAGATGGACCAAGTACTTGGGACCCTGCACCTGTGTGGGAGACCCAGAGGAAGCTCCCAGCTCCTGTCTTTGGGTCAGCCCAGCTCCAGCCATTGTGGCCATTTGGAAAGTGAACCAGTGGATGGAAGACACACTCTCTCTCTCTCTCTCTTCTTCTGTCTATAACTCTACCTCTCAAATAAATAAATCTTTAAAAAAAATCAAAATAAAGCAGTTTATAACCCACTCCCCAATTCTCCTCAATATACTTGATACTTAAAATGGTAGCAAAAGCAAAAAGATTTAGGGGATTTCTTTTTTATCACTTGACAATATCTTATAAAGTTTAACTACAAACACATAGTTGACATAAGAAAAGATATGAATGGACAAAAACCCTACTTACAACATAACTGAAATAAGCTAGCATTGCGGGGATGGGGAAAGATCAGTCAACACCTCCAGAGAAGGGTCCACAAGGAAGATTGGCCACTGATTAGCATAAACCAGAGCCTTAACCTTGTGCAGCCAGGCACATATTTGGAAAAGAACCAACTGCACTTAAGCAGCGCCCCTAAAGCCCAGAGTCCAGTAGGGAGTTGTTGACCGGCTGCACGTGTGGATTGTGTAGCCAGGAAAGCAAGAGGGAAACAGCAATCCTGGATTAGCAGAGGTCTATGGCTAAGAATAGCGTGCAGAGTGCAGTATATTTTCCCCAGTGGAGAAAGAAGGTGCTCCCCCAAGAAAGCCAGCTCTCAGGAGGGAGGCGAAGGAGGAGGGGCAGAATCCAGATGATCTGGGAAAACAGCTTCAGGAGCCAGCAGGCACCCTGCCAGAGTCAGTGCAAATGTGAGAGCTGGTTTCCTTTCCAGAGTAGAAACACGCTCTGACGTCACCTCCAACATAGGGACGTTTCCCATTTCGACCCCCTGAGCTTCTCCCCCCTCCAGAGCCCCCCTTGCAGCTTCGCAGCAGACGACGACTTCCCTCCAGGACCAGCAGACAGCGTGCCCAGCTGAAACACCAGCTGTGAGACCTTGGACAAGCTTCTGCCTCAATTTTCTCAGCCACAAAATGGAGATATTATTAGTCTATTCATGTAAGATTGCTCCAAAGAGCTAATTAATGACTACGCTACTTACAACCCTATCTGGTACATACTAAAGCTGCAGTAAACAGTTACTGTTATTATTTCATTATTACCACCATTACCTAATGTTTTCTTGTCATTCCAGGTGTACGTTATGCATGGCTACTACTGAAATGTGTAGGAAATGGTTTTAACAAATTTACACATTCAGAAACAAGCTAGAAAAAACAGTTTTCATGAGATATGGTAGCACATAGGATTTCCCTTAGAAGTGTGTGTAATTTGAAAGATGATATGGGAGGTGATTTAATTCTGACATTGCCTCTGCTTAACTACTGCTCCAAAAATGCTAAGATTGAGGCCAGTGTTGAGCTTAACAGGTGCTACGCCTGTGGGTTCCTGCTACCCAGATGGGAGATCTGGATTGCATTCCAGGCTCCCAGCTTCAGCCTCAGCCTAACCCCACGTGTGGTGAGCATTTGGGGAGGGAACCAGCAGATGGGAGCTCTCTCTGTGTCTCTTTCTCTCGCCTTCTCAAATGTTTTTTAAAAATCCAGCTAAGGTTAAAATGAACCCAGAGCTTTATTAGAATTCACATTTTCTGATTTTTTTTCTTTTTTAACATTCCTCTACAAAAAAACACTCTCTCTACTTAACCTAATGTATTAAATCCTGAAGTTTCCTGCTCTGGTCAGAAGCCAACCTGGAAGTGTTTTCTGAGCCAAGCCCTCACCCAGAAGCAGCCAAGTGCTCTGGGGGCAGGGGAGGAAGAGGAGGAGGAAGGGTGCAGAGTGTGTTCTAGCTAATGTCTGAGGAACCATAGCTTGGGACTAGCCTACAGGATCAGGCCTCACCTCAACATAGATGTGCCCATTTTCCGCCACAGAGAAGACTCCCTGGGAGGGCACCAGGAAGAGGTCGGTGTTGTACAGCTCCATGTTGAAGGTGATGTTCTCATTGGGCTGGTCCTGGTAGGTACTGGGGTTCCCCAGCTGCCGCAGGCTGCAATTAAACTGCGGGAAAGAAAATCAAATCATGATCACTTGGTGGGTGAAGGCCCCATACCTTCATGAGCTCTTAGCCTTTAATACAGGCTTGTGTTTTCTGATAATCCCTAACTAAAGGCAACCAAACATGAAGGTGCTTCAGAAAGTTTGTGGAAAATGGATTTAAAAGGTGAGTTTCTTTTGGTGAAAAAATTTCTGATATCCACGCAATGGTTTCTTCAGAAAACACATTTTCCATGGAGTTTTTGATGACTCCTGTAGATAACACTCTCTGTAAAGTACCTAGTGAAAATGAATCCTCACCACCACAATTTCAGGACGGCTGGAGAAGGCAGGCTCTCCTTCATCCATGTCTCCAGGAAATCCATTGTCACCTGATTCCAAGTCTTCATAACCCTCAGGCCAGCCACTGCTATCCCCAGGGGATGGGACCTGAATCACAATCTACAAGGCAAAGAAAGCACAGCCAATGCTATAAAACCACCAAGCCACAAGCATGTAGCTCTACCTTACACCCATGGAATAAATCAGATGCAAATTGAAAACCTGACTTTAAAACAGACACAGTAACAACAAAAAACTCTACACATTCTAGGATTTCATTGTCAAAGAGGTAAGCAATAAGAGAATCGTAGTACAGGTTCAAGTTAAGATCTGAACTAAAATTTATATTTTCTCTTGTCAAAAAAGCAGATTTCTTCCATAACTATATTGAGGAATTACAAATTAATCCAAATAATGGAGAAACATTAGACCCTCAAATGGAGTTGAATGGGGTTGTCACTTGTCTATACTGCAGAGGGGGATTTCTCTTACTAAATAAGAGTCTAGATACTAAAAACTCTAGGAAGTACAAAGACTCGGCCATTGTAGCGAGCTTTAGTTATTTGTGTCCTTTAAGATTTGTAAAAAGTTTTATTTGAGCTAGAAACCAGGATTTGGGGGAACTCAGTACAGGCCTCTCATGTGGGTGGCCTCTGCCTGAACCATCACCGGCTGCCTCCCAGTGTTTCCACGAGCAGGAAGCTGGAATTGGGAGCTAGAACTAGGCCTGGAACGCAGGCACTCCGACACGGGGCGTGAGCCTCCTGCATGGCATCCTAACCATCGTGCCAAATGTCCACCCTTAGCGTCTTTCTTGGAAGTGGAGACAGATACTTGATAATTTCATAAAGGCCTTCTCAAACTTGAAATTCTCTTCTTGGAGGAAAAAGTTTGCCTACTTGTGGACAAGACCCAAGCGAGGTGAGAGAAACCATGCATCTGGTTGCCCAGTTGTGCAGAGATGCTTACTGACAGCCCGAGACATTAGGTTTTATTCACATAAGAACCAGGCTATTTGGTCCTACGGTTGGCCACAGAGAGAAGTCATAATCATCCTGACAGCGAACACTGTGCCATCAGAAATTTTTTTTTAAATCTCCAAATTAAGACTTTTTTTTTATTTGACAGGTAGAGTTATAGACAGTGAGAGAGACAAAGAGAAAGGTCTTCCTTCCATTGGTTCACTCCCCAAATGGCCGCCACAGCCGGTGCTGTGCCGATCCAAAGCCAGGAGCCAGGTGCCTCCCCCTGGTCTCCCATGCGGGTGCAGGGCCCAAGCACTTGGGCCATCCTCCACTGCACTCCCGGGCCACAGCAGAGAGCTGGCCTGGAAGAGGTGCAACGAGGACTAGAACCCGGCGCCCATATGGGATGCTGGCACCACAGGCGGAGGATTAACCCAGTGAGCCACGGCGCCGGCCCCACCATCAGAAATTTTAAGAAGGGAGTGGGTGAGATCACCACAACTCCAGCTGAGCAAACAGGGCCTTCCTATTCCTCAAAACTCACTGTAAAAGCACACAAAACCAGAGTTCGGGGTCAATGTAAACCCCACTTTGTGGAGAACCAGCACTTGACTTTGTGCAGGTTCCTCCTCATTGTCAGAGACATATGAAGACTTCCTTTAAGGCTCTGGCAGAAGGCAAAGCTCTATTCTGGAGAACACTCACCGAGTTATAGTAAACCACACCATCAGGGGCTAGGCGCCGGTGCCGAGTACCACAGCCATTCAGGGGAGACTCCAAGATGAAGTGGGTGCCATTCATCTTGGCCTTGCAGCTAGGATCCAACAGCGTGAGCTCCATCCCGGAGTAGCCGTTGGCCTGAAACAACAATCAACAAAGACATGATGGAGGGCCCCCAGGCACTTCTGCTTCGCACAGGCAACAGACGCTGCCTGGTCTTCCAAGTAAAGGGGGCACAGGTGCACGCTGTGCTGTACTCCCAGTCACCTCTTTCCAGCCATCCAGCTCACAACAGCCCAAGGCCTGTTGGTCTTCAAGAGCAAAATACTGACACACAGGGACCCAGAACCCTTGCCCCCCTCACAGAGAACAACAGGAGCCAGGTGAGGATCACAGCTAAGGGGAAGTGGGTCCATCCAACTGAGAAGACAGAATCAAGTCTCCGGGGTTCAACCGTTTAAGAGCCAGAGGGAAATCATGAACACAGCCCAGAGCAACAGTGGGGAGGGGGCAGCTTCTCTGCTCTCCTTTCCGATTGCACTGACCTGAAAGGAATCTTTTCCTACAGCCACAGTCAGCTTTTCACTGTCACATTTGACTGACAGAGCCACATCCACGCTCCCTTGCACCTCTTCCGGCTCTCTAGGACTGGGAAAGAGTTGCATGCCGGGGATGACACGGTCCTTTGGCCTGGGGACCCTATCTTCACCTTCTTCCTTCCGGCCTCTCCTGGAGATATCTGGGAAAGGGAAGGGGAGACCTCCATTTCGGCCTCCCCCTCCCCGGAAGGGCGGGTTTTCCAGGGTAGGCAAGGTGCCAGGGTCCAGCAGGATGCGTAGCTCGGGAGGGATGGCATGGACTTCCTCATCTCTCATCTCCTCTACGGTGACAGAGAAGGCAGAAAATCATTAGTGTGGATACCAGGCCACAATTGTCGTCAAAAAAGCAGAACAGGAGGAATTAGCTGAGACGAGGCAGGTGTAAAATTACTTTTAACAAGCAATGCATATAAGCAATCAGGAATCTGAATTCTAGTCCTGCTGGTCTCTTCAACAAGCTGAGTGGCTTTGGGCAACTGACCTATTCCTCTATACCTCAATTTCTCAAAATTTAAAATTAAGGATTGGATTAGATCAGTGGTTCTTAATTTTGACTACACATTAAAATTACTCTGGGAACTTAAAAAAATAGCCCTATGCCCAGGTTGTACCCCAAGCCAATTAAAATTAGACTCTCCAGGGTAAGACCCAATCATTTGTAAGCTTCAAGCTCCCCATGTCATTGTAGCGGCACAGCCTAGATAAAGACCATGGTGCTAGAAAATTTCTAAAGCCCAACAAGATACAAAATTCTGTGACTTCAGTAAGTTATAAAAGGCAGTACTATTCCATTCAAATACCACTGAAATACTTTCCTTGAATCTAGAGATTTTTTTTCAACAGTTTTTCTAAAGATTTCTTGAAATAACATTGCTATTTATTATTTATTTTTATTTGAAAGGCAGGAAGAGACTGACAGGGAGAGATCTCACTTGATTCCCTAAATTCCTGGAACAGCCAGGGCTGGGCAAGGCCCAAGCCAGAACCCTGGAACTCAATCTGGATGTCCCATGTGGGTGTGGGACCCAGGCACTTGAGCCATCAGCTGCTGCCCCAGCTAGAATCAGCAAGCTGGAATCAGGAGCATAGCCAAGACTTGGAACACAGGTTCTCTAGCAGGGGATGTGGGCATCAAGCAGCATCTTAACCACTGTGCCAAACACCCACCCCCAGTATTGGTATTTAAAATATTATTGTGCTGGGGCCCGTATTGTGGCATAGAGGGTTAAGCTGTCCCCTGCAATGCTGGCATCTCATATGGGCTCCAGTTCGAGTCCTAACTGTTCCACTTCTTATCCAGCTTTCTGCTAATGCACTTGGGAAAGTAGCAGAAGATGGCCCAAGTGCTTGGGCCCCTACACCCATGTGGGAGACCCAGAAGAAGCTCCTGGCTCCTGGCTTTCACCTGGCCCAGCCCTGGCTGTGTGCAGCCATTTGGGAGTGAACCAGCAGGTGGAAGATCGATCTCTCTCTCTCTCTCTCTCCCTCTCTCTTTCTCTCCCTGTAACTCTGTCTTTAATAAAAATAAATAAATCTTAAAAAACAGAAAATTTATTTTGCTACCTCCTTTTTGAGTGTCAAACTATAGACGTTATTTGGATACTTGGCCTTTTAAAACCTCATCACTAAGTGGAAAAGAAAGACTACTTAGGTACACTTTTTCCTCCAAAGGAACAGACTTATTTCCAGACAATCAATACTCAATAATTTTGTTATATTTTCAACAATTTAAAGAAAACATTTTATCTATTATTATACAAATCCACCACCTAAAAGCCAACTGATGTATGGCTGAGATCAAAGCCATCTCAGTGAAAGCTAGAAGTGAAGATGACCAATAGACATTAACTCTTCTCCAATCCTTTGAAAAGGACACTATAAAAGTGTTCAGGTCTAAAATAAGTTATAATTTCGCATAATTTTTTTTTGACAGGCAGAGTGGACAGTGAGAGAGAGAGACAGAGAGAAAGGTCTTCCTTTACCGTTGGTTCACCCTCCAATGGCCGCCACGGCTGGCGCGCTGCGGCCGGCACACCGCGCTGATCCGATGGCAGGAGCCAGGAGCCAGGTGCTTTTCCTGGTCTCCCATGGGGTGCAGGGCCCAAGCACTTGGGCCATCCTCCACTGCACTCCCGGGCCACAGCAGAGAGCTGGCCTGGAAGAGGGGCAACTGGGACAGAATCCAGCGCCCCGACCGAGACTAGAACCCGGTGTGCCAGCGCCGCAAGGCGAAGGATTAGCCTATTGAGCCACGGTGCTGGCCATAAGGTTTTTAACTTGTACTGTTTAAAGAATTTTCACAAAAACCCTATAAAGGAGGTCCTATAATTTTTCCCAATTACTGAAGAGGCTCAGAGGTTCAATGACTTCTCCCAAAAGAGTGAAGAAATGGCAGGACTGAGACTTGAGCTAGTTCTCCCCACTTTTATTCTAACAGCATCGCACTCAGGAGAGGTACCGGGGAGTGAGGACCAGCTCTGGGGAGCGGCTCAGTCACGCTCACTGAGACTCCTGAGAACCTCATGAACTTGTCGGGCCTTTGCTTTCTGCTCTATCAAACCAGAGTAGTAATTCCTGGCCCCAGCTCTGGGTGAGAAGGCCCGAGTGTGAGTTCCCAAGACCGTTTTCCTCTAAGAGGCAGATTCTGACCAGGGACTCCTTCCCTGCAGTCCTAGCCATTCCGCATTCTCAGCTGTAAGTGGCCATGTGATTGCTGGAGAGGAGAACGCAGGCCAATTTCTTCCTACTGAAGTCACAGGAAAGATCTTCAGCAAAGTTCTCTGATACACACTCACCTCTACACTATTGAGACCTGTAATCCAGTTTCCCCAAAATCATCTATTACAATTCAAGATCATTTTAAGCCTTATATTAAAAAGCACTCAAAAAATTATTAAAATGTGCAACAGAAAAACCACCACAAAAGCTGAAATGAGAGGTCCTTATAAGAAAATTTCATTCGCGAGATTTCTTCCATATAACTACATTAAAAAAAAAAAAAAAAAAACCCACACTTACCATGGTTTTCAAGCCGAAGGTGAAACCTATTAGCCACAGGGGCTACTGTGTATGACGTTACTGGACTGTAGCCATTGTCCAAAGCCCACTTTACCAGGTTCTCTTGGGTAGAAGGAATGTCATCTCTTATGGACTTGGTCATGGTCATAGATCTTTCACTCTCTTTTCCAAAACCAATACTGTTAGGAGCCTAAAGAGAACAATAAACTATCATTCACAGGTGTAAAGATAAATAATATTTTAAATAATAAGATTTAAATACCTGAAAAACATCAATTCTACATAGTGTATGAGGCAATGACTTATTCTTTTTATTTCTATTTTCCGAGGGCTAAAACGTTCACATGAAAACCTTTCATAACAGATTGACAGACACCTATTCATGCTATCTGATCATGTTGCTTGGATGGCTTATGTTGGTAAAGATAATTCAATGACAGCTAAGTAGCCACATATTAAATATATCTTTTGTGTTATCACAGAGTTAATGTCAAAGTTCTTAACACACACATACCAAATTTGTATACCAAACTTTCCCTTGTTTTTATTTACAATTATGTACAAAGTATACAGATGTACAAGTTATATTGGCAAAATATGCCCATGCTTCTACTTCCTATAACCCAAGATTTAAATGAAAGCAAAATCAAGTTACCCTAGTGAGGAGACAAGCCTATCCTCACAAACTACTAAACTCCATCTGGTGAAACCGCCAAGGTTGATAGTTCAACTATAATTTATGATCCAGTAGACTGTTTTGTAACTGCTCATTTGCCAGTTCTGTTAACTAAATGTGCTAACATTTTATGCTCTAAAATATTAATTAATTTAGGTTACTTTCCTCTGCCTATTAATTTTTTTACAAAAGATTTATTTATATATTTGAAAGGCAGAGTTATAGGATGGTGGGGGGAGCTAGGGGGTGGAGAGTCCCCAGATGACTGAAATGGCCAGAGCTGGGCCAGGTGGAAGCCAGGACCCAGGAGCTTCATTCAGGACTCCCACGCAGGTGCAAGGGCCCAAACACTTGGGCCATCTTCCGCTGCGTTCCCCAGGTCATTAGTAGGGGGCTGGCTGGATCAGAAGTGGAGCAGCTGGGACACGAGGTGATGCTGATGTCACAGCTGGCAGCTTTACCCACTATTCTGGCCCCTCTGCCTATTAATATTTTATCCAATACTACAAGTAGCTCAGAAAACTAGCATTCAGTGGAAAGTCAGTTATAAAATTAAAGTTACATAAATACTTTCAGGAAAGAATATAACTGGACTCTGAGTAAGAAGGACATGGGAGGTAAATTGCTATGACACTCGGGGACTCCGGCGGCAGTGATGGAGTCTGAGGGTGACAGGGCTGAACCCTGGAGAGGGATCACCAGGGGCAGGCACCACTTTTTCAACAACTGCTCCAGCAAGGCAGGAAAGCCCTCCCAGCGCACAGCTTATACCATTTTCATGCTGTCTAAAAATCACTTTAATTTCCATGCCCAGTGATTTTCTCCTGCATACATGCAGCATTTTTCCTAAATTCCTCATTTGTTTCCCATTCTGTTTGCCCCTAACATGACTAAATATTAATCCTTTCCCACTGTAAAACCATAAAAGATTCACAGCTTCTAAGTTCTCCTGGCCGTTTCAGTTGTGGGAGATTGGCTGACGAAACATACATTTAAATTCAAAGCTTAAAGGATCTCACCCAAAGGGTTTATCTGTGGGAAAACTGCCAGGCTGGCCAGTCAGGACCCCTGCACACAAAGAAACCAGGCAGAGTTCTACCCAAATCCTGCAGCCAGGTGTTAACTCAGCTTTGTAGGCTCAGAGCATTGCAGCTCTCTCTCGGACTCAGAGCAAATTCCTTAGGAGAAGGAAGGGTTAGAAAGACAGCCAGAAAGTATAAGAAATGCAGAGAGGGAGAGAGAGAGAACTAAACTGGAGTTAGGGAGGATATGATTTATTCTTGGAACTTTTTATTCATTTAGTCAACAGCCGTTCTCTGCAGCACAGCTTCTTCCAGCCTTTCAAAGCAGCACATCGTTTTCATTGGCTGGAACAGCAGCATTGGCCTAACCAGTTCTGCTTGGCCTCATCTGCCCCAGCCTTTCATGTTGTTGGACAGCTGAGAAAATATTGTATTTCCAGAATCCTATCATCATCCCTGCCACCTGTCCTTTTGTACCAATCGAGAATGATCTGTTCACACCTTTCCACATTAAATCCAAGAGCTGTGGGTTCATCTCATATTGATTATGCCTCCGACTGAAACGCTAGACAGCTATCTGCACATCTGTGAAGCGGCAAGGCCTGGGACAATGGCAGGCAAGTTGGTTCCTAGCATTGAGCAAATTCCTCATGCTGTATTTCTGGGAGTCCCTGAGTTTTTTTCCAACTTTAGTGGAGCCATTTCAAATGGGAATATTCTAGGGGGTCTCCAAGTACCACCACCATCTTTCCCAGCCACATCATTATGAAAGGTGGTGAGCTGGGCACAGGGTCTAAGTACCTCCACAACCCCCCAAGTTTGCATCAGAGCTGATGGCAGGGGGTGGAGGAAGGGGTGAGTCAGAGAATACAGTGCGTACTCCCATAGGGATTGTAAAAATGTCCTTTCTAAGAACAAACTGGCCTACACCAACCTTGAAGTCCAAGGCCACATGAAACAGTGTGAGAGGAAACCCATAATGAGTTTCCTCTATCCATTCTTTAATGTTCTGGAGGTTCTTCCTGCCATAAAAGTGAGCACACCAGGTCCCCAGAGGACCTAAGCAAAGAGCCAGAGCTGCACATGGCAAGGTGGACACGTCAGTATTCCTGTTCTTACCCCCACCGCGGCCCTCTGCATCCCTTTTGGCCATTTTTTTTGTACTTAAAGGACACATTCTGCCTAACCCCACAGAAAATAAATATTATGAAAAAGTTGTGCATGAGTTTCAAAGTGTTTTGCACCAGGAGAGGATGTTTGGCCTAGTGATGGAGACGCTGATTGGAACGCCTGCATCTCATACCAAGTGCCTGGGTTGGATCCTGGCTCCACTCTCAATACCAGTGCACCTTGGGAGGCAGCACTGACAGCTCAAGTAGTTAGGTTCCTGCTACCCATGGAGGAGACCAGGATTGCGTTCCCGACTCCCAGCTATGGGAACCACTGCGGGAATCTGGGAAGTGAACCAGAGGATGAGCATGAGTCCCCACTTGCTCTGTCTCAAATGAATAATAGAAAAAAAATTTTTGCACCAAATTGAACTTAATTTTATCTACTGATAACTTTTTGAAGTACCCTCTTACATGCATAAGCCACCCATGTTCAACAATGCCCTTCTTTAAATTTACCTCATCGGGTTTCTTACGATTCCTCTAGTAAACATTTTCTTGCTTTTTATCTTGCTTAGAGAAGTGCCCTGTTCCAACAGACACCTAAAACATTGCTGATGGAAGAGGTTGAACCCCTTTTTATGCCAGGTGCTGTGCTAGGAGCTTTCTGAATATTATCCTACTTAATTCTCTTCTGAAAGACAAGGAGCTAGGAATGACTATTTGTTAGAGGCAGAGAATCTGAGATTCACAGAAATTATGTAGCACACATAGCTGAGAATTCACCCTATGAGGGCAGTGTGCACAGAGCTTTAGGTGAAACATCCTGCCTGTGACCCCTTCACAAATACTTCTTGAATGAGTGAATAAATAAACACATGAGCTCAGCTAAACCTCACAATAGCTCTCAAGGTGAGTACTATCATCACATCCTTTTCATAAGTGAGCAAACAGATTGTTCAGCTAGACTGCCCAGTATTTTCCAAGAGTAATGATCATTGAAAAGGGATTTGAACATAGCCCTGTCTGACACACAGCCAGGATTCTTTCCACTCTGCCACTCTGTCTAGAAAGGAAATACCAGAAACAAGTTGCCCATAAAGTCTTTCTTCCTTTGTTGTTAAAAAAAAGTTATTTATTTATTTATTTATTTGAAAGGGAGAGGCACAGAGAAAGAGCTCTGTCATCTGGTGGTTCATTCTCCAAGTGCCTGCAACAACTGAGGCCAGGCCAGGACCAACGCCAAGAGCTAAGGACCCAAAGGAGGAGTCCTACATGGATGGGATGGAGCCCAACTCCTTGAGCCATCACCTTTGCCTCGCAAGGTCTGCAGTAGCAGGAAGCTGGAGTCAGGAGCCAGAGCCAGGACTCGAATGCAGGTCCTCTGATTCTGGACACAGGTGTCTTAACCTGCAGCTTAATCACCAGGCCAAACACCTGCTGCCATTTCTCCCTTTCTGAGTGTTGTCTATACTTTTGTATTAGCAGATAGCATTCCCTCTCAGCACAGGCAGAATTCACATCTGAAACAGGGAATTAGGAAATCACAAAGCATGAAATGGATTGGGAGAATAAAACAGAACATCATGAAACATGACCTAAGTGTTTAGCAATGTCCTGCATTGTCCAAAGTTGGCCAGGAACAGGAGTGCAGCCAAGGAGAGGGATATAAACAGATCTTGCTCGGGATGAGCAATCTCATTTCTAGCCTTTCTGATTCACATGAGAGACGGGGACCTTCAGAGTGAACTCCAGAACTGCCCCGGACCAGGCACACACATTCAGGGAGAGAAAGAGCTGTGCCCGGGTCAGGGCCCAAAGCATAGTTACACAAGAACTCCAGCAGGGAATTAAAGTGTACCGTATGTTTCTGCCTTTCAAAGCGTGATTCCCTTTCCTGTTTTTGTTATTCTGAAATTACAAACATTTGGCCAGTGTGCCAGGCAGCAAAGGCCACAGACACCATAGGTCACCAGCACCCCTGACGCTGTGCCCCAGAGGGCAAGCAACACATCTTTGCTTTCAGAAAATCACGGCTGCACTTTGTGCTCAACACCAAATTAATACATCACTGTTCCACAGGACGGCTTACTGGGACCGTCCCAAAGTTGAAAAAACAAGAAACCCACAGGAACCAGAATGATTACTTTAAAATTAAGATATGTGTGCTCGTGACCTTGCCTGCTGTTTCTGGTGAGGGCTTTACATGACGTTGCCTAGGAAACTGGGGGTTTTGCTCACTGCTGTATCGGAAGGAAGATGCCATGAATGAATGAATAATACCAAAACCAAAGGCATAGCTGCCCCAATTAAACCCACTCCAACTGATTTGATGCAGCTACTAAAAGAGATATTGTCCTTTTGTTTTTATTTTAAAAAATGACAATGCAAAAAAGTTGAGACTATAAAAGGGATGCTAAAGTAAATATTTTCTAAAAAATGGAAGTATTTCTTTTTAACTTTTAACATAATTACTCCCATATTCTGCCAAATAGCTACTCTCTATATCATCTGAGATAAGATTAACTTTACCAAATTTCATCATTCAACTTTTCAGGAAAAGAGCTTCTGTCTACTTACACCAACCAGCAAAGTCTCCTCAAGATTTCCTTCATGAAACAGGACTCTTAAGAAAGAGATTAGAGGGGCTGTGCTGTGGCATAGCGGGTAAAGCTGCCACCGACGGCACCAGCATCCTACATAGGCAGCAGTTTGATTCCCGGCTGCTCCACTTCTGATCCAGCTCCCTGCTATAGCCTGGTAAAGCAGCAGAAGATGGCCCAAGTGCTTGGGTCCCTGCTACCCATGTGGGAGACCTAGAAGAAGTTCTTGGTTCCCAGCTTCGGACTATCCCAGCCCTGACCAGTATGGTCATTTGGGGAGTGAACCAGCAGATGGAAGTTCTCTCTGTCTCCATCTTTCCTTCTCTAGCTTTCAAATACATAAGTCTTAAGAAAAAAAGAAGGCCGGTGCTGCGGCTCAATAGGCTAATCCTCCCTCTGCCTTGCGGCGCCGGCACACCGGGTTCTAGTCCCGGTCGGGGAGCTGGATTCTGTCCCGGTTGCCCCTCTTCCAGGCCAGCTCTCTGCTGTGGCCAAGGAGTGCAGTGGAGGATGGCCCAAGTGCTTGGGCCCTTCACCCCATGGGAGACCAGGAGAAGCACCTGGCTCCTGCCTTCGGATCGGCGCGGTGTGCCGGCCGCAACACGCCGGCCGCGGCGGCCATTGGAGGGTGAACCAACGGTAAAAAGGAAGACCTTTCTCTCTGTCTCTCTCTCTCACTGTCCACTCTGCCTGTCAAAAAAAAAAAAAAAGAAGAAGAAGAAGAAGATGACGACGACGTTCAAAGCAGGTGAGAAGACATATCAATGCCACATAGTTAACAAGAACAGTATATGATGTGAGCTGGGGTCAGCCTGATTTCTATACCTTCCCTAAGTCCCTAACACCAAAAGAGCTGATTTTCAGGACCACGATACTGAGTCCCAAATAGGACTCAGCCATGGAAGGCTTAACTGTGCTCCTTGTCTTACACTTACTAGCACTACAAAGCACACTGATGCATTTCAGGAGTTTCACAAATGAGGCTACTAGAGTTGAGAGAGGTTAAGGGATGTGCCCAAGGTCACAGTTTGTAAATGCAAGTGCCAGGACACAAATGCAGTTGGTCTGGCCCACAGCGCCCATGTTTTAACCCTCACATTGACCACCCTTGTCGGGAAAAGCCAGGGAGCAGCCTACTCTGCAATGTGGAAAATAACCGAGAGAAACCTTAGAAACTCCAAAGAGGCAGAAACTTGAGAAAAATAACACATATAAGCCCAGCTTAAATTATTGCCATTCATCAAAACAAAGAAATGCTCAACCAACTTACAATAACTTTTAGGTTTCCCTTAACATCAAAAGATCTGATCACCCAGTTGACGGACTTTTTGCACTTCAAGATCAGGATGAGATTTTTGACCACCTCGGGATCATCGTGAGAGGGTCTTATGTCAATTATTATATCCACCTGGAAAGCACTGTGAGAGAAAATAAAGGCAAAGTTAGGACCCAAATGCCAGAAACTTGCAACCCCTCTTCCAAGTCTTCGTGTTTCTAGTGTCTGGCCAGCTGATTAAAAAGCTGGAGTTGATCCTGGGCAAATGACATGTGCAAAACAGATTGTTACTGCACACAAAACAAAATGATTTTACATAACAATGGAAACACAGCCCTGTTGATCATTAGCCATGAACGTTTTTCTCTTCTTTGGGAAAACAAAACCAAAATCAAGGTGGTTACTTGATGCAGCCACCATTAGAGAGAGACCTGAACAAACCAGAGGACTTGACTGTCGAGGCAGAATTGGTGCTTTTTCTTCCCCACATCTTCAATGTACAACTTACCAATTTGCTAAATGCTCAGATTCCTACAAAACCAGAAGTGGATGGCACTTTGCTCAGAGGGGAGCTGTGACAGAATTGGGGGTGGGGTGGGGAGACAACATGGCAAAAAAAAATTTGGAAACTTCAAAATAAGAGGCAAAGGGCTGGAGAATTTCTTGATTTATCTTAGGTTTGCTTGAGCCCATATACAATTGCTACAAAATCCTATCTGCATTTACTTTCCCAAACTTCTGGATATACAGTTATTAAAATCAAGAAACCAGATGGTCAACTGAGTAATTGTTAGAAAACTGATGACCACCACTCAAACTTCTAAGAATTCAGTATATAAGAGAATTTTTTTTTTTAACTAAACATTATCTCCATGGTTCTGAATTTAACGGGAAAGTCTTTATTTCCATCTTGGTTTTACATGCTTGTAAAGCATAAAATGAACAATGTACACAAATGAAGCCATGGGCTTAATGGCTAAGCACATGTGCCAGACTGCTTCTATTTCTCATTCCCTTTGGACCTTCCACAGAATTCCTCATGTGGGACAGAATGGAATCCTACCAAAGCTGATCTTCAGCTTACTCACTTTTGAAATCAAAACCTCAATAGCATTTTAACTTTGAAATCCCTCTACAATACACATTTAAACTTCGAAGTCACCAGTCCAGATGAAATGCAGGGTAAAGCGAGAGAATAAATTTTTTGCCTTCTCTTAATTTCCTAAATCTTTTTTTTAACTTTTATTTAATAAATATAAATTTCAAAAGTACAACTTTTGGATTACAGTGTTTTTTCCCCCCATAACCACCCTCCCACCTGCAAACCATCCCATCTCCTACCCCCTCTCCCATTCCATTCTTAAGATTCATTTTTAATTATCTTTATATACAGAAGATCAACTTAGTATATACTAAGTAAAGATTTCAACAGTTTGCACCCACACAGACACACAAAGTATAAAGTACTGTTTCAGTACTAGTTTTACCATTAATTTGCATAGTACAACACATTAAGGACAGGGATCCTACATGGGGAATAAGTGCAAAGTGACTCCTGTTGTTGATTTAACCACTGACACTCTTGTTTATGACGTCAGTAATCACCCGAGGCTCTTGTCATAAGCTGTCAAGACTATGGCAGCCTCTTGAGTTCACAAACTCCGACCTTATTTAGACAAGGTCATAGTCAAAGTAGAAGTTCTCGCCTCCCTTCAGAGAAAGGTACCTCCTTCTTTGATAGCCCATTCTTTCCACTGGGATCTCACTCACAGAGATCTTTCATTTAGGCCATTTTTTGCCACAGTGTCTTGGCTTTCCATGCCTGAGAAACTCTCATAGGCTTTTTAGCCAGATCCAAATGCCTTAAGGGCTGATTCTGAGGCCAGAGTTGCTGTTTAGGGCATTTGCCATTCTATGAATCTGCTGGGTATCCCACTTCCCATGTTGGGTCATTCTCTCCTTTTTAATTCAATTGTTATTAGCAGACACTGGTCTTATTTATGTGATCCCTTTGACACTTAATCCTATCTTTATGATCAATTATGAACTTAAACTGATCACTTTAACTAGTAAGATGGAATTGGTACCTGCCAACTTAATGGAATTTGGAGTCCCATGGCACGTTTCTAGCTCTACCATTAGGGGTAAGTCCAAGTGAGCATGTGCCAAACTGTACATCTCCTCCCTCTCTTATTCCTACTCTTATTTTTAACAGGGATCAATTTTCAAATTTGAATTTAAAATTAAAATCTAAAATTTAAAATTAAAATTTAATTTTAATTTAAAATTTTTAAAATTAAAATTTAAAATTAAACTTTTAAATTCAAATTTTTAAATTTAAACACCTAAAAATAACTATGTGTTAATTAATGAGTTCAACCAATGGCAATTCTCTAATTATGCTCAACAGGGAGGTCAAATTTCAAGTCCAGGGCTAGGAAACTGAAATGGAGACAAGAGCACAGTGGGGAGGCAAGTTCTATCTAATGGCAACTGGGTGTCACCACATCACCATGGGGCCACTCTGCCTACACAAACACATACACACACACTCACATACACACACTCACTCACACACACATACAAACATATGTACACTCACACACTCACAGTTTTAAAGCAAACAGTTCTGAACATATACAGGCTTTGAGGACACAAAGAACAGAACCATAGTTAGACCAGAATGATACTGAAATGATAATTATGTTACTAAGGCACATATTGTGATCTTCTTATCAGGAATAACCTCAGTTAAAGGGGATAATGATGGTGCAAGAGTGACCATCCTATAATTAATATGTAAAAATCAGAACAGGCTTCAGGAACATATGGGATCTGGAGATAGTTGCAGAATATAAAATACACCATTGCCTTGGCTCCCTCTTCAAAGCCTCTGTGAACCACCCCCGAAGCACCGCGGGTGCCCTGCTCATTTGCACAGGGAGGGCAGCACCTCTCCCTGCCTCAAGCCAGATGGAAGTGCCTTTGATTTTGCCTCTGCTCAGTTCAGAAGACACACCCGCTCACGCTCACACACACTTACCTGTAGGGGTTAGAGTTGGGCGTGATCAACTCGATGATGTGCACCTCCTTATCCTGGGGCTGGCTTGACATCACACAGCCTTCTGCTGCTTTGGGCTGAAGGTACTCAGCAAGGTAATTGAGGGAGAGAAAATTCTTCCCTATGTTGCATGTTGGAGGGAATACTTGGTCTGAAAGTAAAGCAGCACAGGGTAATCTGTGAATCCACTGAGCCTCTAAGGGGAGGACGCTGGTAAGACTGAGCAGGTGCAAGATGGGGAATCCCAAGCCAGAAGGAAGGGTCTTCATCTATGGGCTCCCCCACCACTGTCCTGAAATGCCTTCTGCTATGGTCACCCGTGACCTCCTAATGCCTAACTCCAGTGGCCTTTTTAAACGAAGTCCTCTCCTTTCTTGTTTTCTGTGATCCTTCTGGTCCTCATCCATTTCCTCTGACAGTTCTTTCAGACTCTTTTACTGGCTCCTCATCCTCTGTCATCCTTTAAACACTAATGGTCTCAATCTTCAGTGCATGTCATGATGCACCTGCTTGGATCCCATCCCAAAGAATCTGATCCAGGACATCCGGGTGGGCGGAGGCAGCTTGCTCTTTTGAAAACTCCATTGTTGATCCCGATGTACACGAAAGCCAAGAACCTCAGCTTCCTCTTTTTGTCTCCTATTTTCCCTACATGATCTTAGTTACTCCTCTGGCCTCCACTTTATCTAGTCTGTGACTCCTTTTCTGAGCTGCAGACTCATAGTTCCATTTGTCTACCAAGCAACTCCTATGTGAAAATCCAATAGGCATTCCACGGTCAACACTGAAACCATTCTCTCGCCTATTGCCAACTACAATCAGCTCTCACAGGACCGGCACCTGCAGACAATCCACTGCAGCTCCAAGATTTGGAAAAAATAATGCGTCTGTAGTAAATATGTACAGACCCTTTTCCTTGTCACTAAACCCTGAACAATGCAGCATAGCAACTATTTACATAGCATTTAGTTTGTATTATCAGTAATCTAGAGATGACTGAAAGCACATGGGGGGCAGCGCTGTGGTGTAGTGGGTAAAGCCACCACATGCAGTGCCAGCATCCCATATGGGCACCGGTTCAAGTCTCAGCTACTCCTCTTCTGATCCAGCTCTCTGCTATGGCCTGAGAAAGCAGTAGAAGATGGCCTAAGTCCTTGGGCCCCTGCACCCACATGGGAGACCCAGACGAAGCTCCTGGTTCCTGCCTTCAGACGGGTGCAGCTCCAGCTGTTGCAGCTATTTGGGGAGTGAACCAGAGGATGGAAGACTCTCCTCTCTGTGTGTAACTCTTTCAAATGAATAAATAATTTTTTTTAAGAAGGCAATGCATATTTAAAAAAAAGTTCATGGGAGGTGTGTGCATATGGTATAGGCCAACACTGTGCCCTTTTATATAAGGAACTTGACCTTTGTTGGATTTGGGTATCCACAGGAGTGGGGCTGGAACCAGCTCCCTACAGACACCACAGGATGCCTGCATGCCCCTCCTTGGAAATTTGTTCTCCCAGTTAGCAGGAGACCCAGCCGCCGACTGACATCTCTGTGCCAGCATGCAGAGTGAATCATTCCATCAGAGTTATTCCTCACAGCACTTTATACTCTGGAGATTAAAAGGTAGGCATTCGGAGGAAGCAGAGAGGGCAGATTTTCACTCTTTCTCACAATCTCGACACAGACAATTCATGTTGACATGACACTTGACAGTGTCCACGGTGCCTTCACCGTGCTGACGGCTGCTCACCACCCCGCCCCGGGAGAGGGATGGGGAAAGTGATGTGAGCACCACAGGCCTGAAGACATCTTCCTCCCCACAGCACATGCCACTGGTGCAGCCTGGGTTTCCACCCAGTGGTTTAAATGCTTAAACAGAACTTGCGAGAAACTACTGGCAATGTGACAGCTGGGGCCAGGGGTCCAGGAAGTTCTAGGTGCAGCAAGCTTTATTTCAGAGGGGCAGTTAATCAGGGGCCTGACACTTCAGTGAAACTGACTTCTGCCTGGTTGGTTGGTTTTTTTTTTTTTTTTTTTTTTTTTTTTTTTTTTTGACAGGCAGAGTGGACAGTGAGAGAGAGAGACAGAGAGAAAGGTCTTCCTTTGCTGTTGGTTCACCCTCCAATGGCCGCCACAGCTGGCACGCTGCAGCCGGCGCACCGTGCTGATCCGATGGCACGAGCCAGGTGCTTCTCCTGGTCTCCCATGGGGTGCAGAGCCCAAGCACTTGGGCCATCCTCCACTGCACTCCCGGGCCACAGCAGAGAGCTCTGCCTGGTTGGTTTTAAAGACAGGATGCCAGGTTTCACATCCACAGCAAAGTTCCACTCTGGAGGAGGGAATCAGCCCAGGAGGTTCCAAGGACTGGTTCATACTGCTCCTTCCCCAACTCGTGCCACCCTTTGCAGGCAAGTTTGCAGCACACACTGTGGCACTGGAGCTCCAGCCATGGAGGCGCCCCCAGCACCATCCTAGAACACAGGGGTCCAGAGCAGTTCACAAAGCTCCTGCTTCCTGGGTCGCTGCAGGTGGGTGTTGGCTCTGCAGTCTGCATTCTTTTCTAAAATCCGCTCTGAGAAGAGAGCTCAAGGCCCCACGGACTCAGGCTACAAAGCTGCCTTCCTCCACATCTGCTGAGGGGTTTGCCAGATGTGCAGATGAGGTATGCACATGGCGCAGCTGCAGCCCTGCAAATGCTTCCCCAGATCACAGGACGGAAAATGATATGGGGAGGGCAGGGCTGAAGAGTAATCAGGAATCAGAAGGTGTGTTTATGGGCTCGGGAGCACAAGAGACTGGAGCCTCCTGGGACTGGAGCCCATAGCTCCCATTCACAGGTGTGCCTGGCTTACATCGGGCATGTGTAGGCACATGGTATAGGTTTCTTGAATTCACAAACCACAAATGTGAGATGTGATACAAATAACAAAAAAATTCACCCGTGCTAAACCAGGAAAGGCTTAATTGTTCCAAAGTTGCAGTTACCAACTTCACTCCCAGATGCCATTGTCACCAAGTTAAATAAACTGATCTCCTTTTGTTGTGTGTGTGGGTTTCCCTCCCCCAGAAATGACTTTCCACATACCTGGCATCAAAACTTACACCAAGTGCCAAGCAGAAAGCAAGCCACAAAGGGGAATCCCTGGGTAGAAACCTGGAACGTTTGGTGTGGGGGGCGGGGGGAGAGTCACGGGCTTATTTGCGTTTTAGGAAAAGATTGACAGATGCGCTGACCTAGAATGAGACACTGGGAGAGCAGGGGCGAGTCCTGGAGGCAGGGCGAATGCACTGGGGCTCTGGTGGAGAAGCAGGGCTGCCCGCAGCCTCACAGGGAGCGGCACCAGTCAGGATAAGAACCAAAACCCCTGGACTCTTCCACTCCAGCTTAGAGCAGTTCTCAGACGTGAATGACCACCAGAACCGGCTGGAGGGCCCAGTCAAACAGCAACTGCTGATCCCACCCCCACAATTTCTGCTTCCCTTGGTCTAGGCTGGGCCCAAGAACTGGCTTTTCTAACAAGTTCCCAGGGAAGGCGGAGGCTATGGAGGTGGGAACCACATTTTTGAGAACCTCTGGGGTCCGACCCCTGGGTACAAGGAGGGTACAGAAGGTCAAGTCCTGGGAAGCTGACAAGGTGATGAACATCACCTGTGGTCCACTGACCTACCCAAAGAACCTCACCTCCCTTACCTGCTCCCCTCCAGGGTGTGACCAACCCAACTGGTGGCTGGAGTCAGGGGCCAGGGGCTCCCCAGGTGTGACCCGGGAGTTAACCACATTTTCCTGGACTGGACATCTGGTCCTTTAAGTTGGCTTCCCCTACCCAGCCTGTGGCTTAGCCAGGTAAGTGACTTAACCCCTTGCTCTCAGGGCAGGTGTCTGCTGCTCACTGAAGCTCATGCCTGGCCAGGAAACAGAGCCCAGCATTCTAAATGCTCCTGCAGCAAGCTTCTTTCCTCTAACAAGTGCCAAGGGGCACTCAACATTCTTTCCTGTTAGCAGAGTTCTGCTTCAGAATGCAGACCACTGGCCAAGGCTTAGAGCGTTTATTAAAAGAGATTATTCATTTTGTCTCCATGGGACTTGACCTTTCTTCTTAGTTACTTGACTACCATGAGAGTTTAGTAACAAAAATCACTTTTTAAAACCCGATTCTTGGGGCTGGTGGCCTGGCGTTGTGGATAAAGCCGTGGTCTGGTCTACAGTGCCGGCATTCCAAATGGGCACCAGTTCGAGTCCCAGTTGCTCCACTTCCCATCCAGCTCTCTGCTATGGCCTGGGAAAGTAGTGGAAGATGGCCCAAGTGCTTGGGCACCTACACCCAAGTGGGAGACCTAGAAGAATCTGCTGGTTCCTGGCTTCAGATTAGCACAGCTCCAGCCATTGCGGCCATCTGGGGAGTAAACCAGTGATGGAAAACACTCTCTCTCTCTCTCTCTCTCTCTCTACCCCTCTACCTCTCTACCTCTCTCCCTCTCTCTCTCCCTCCCTCCCTCTGCTTCTGCCTCTGCTTCTCTGTAACTCTGCCTTTCAAATAAATAAATAAATCTTTTTAAAAAAATCTGATTCTCGGCCGGCGCCGCGGCTCACTAGGCTAATCCTCCACCTTGCGGCGCCAGCACACCGGGTTCTAGTCCCGGTTGGGGCGCCGGATTCTGTCCCGGTTGCCCCTCTTCCAGGCCAGCTCTCTGCTGTGGCCAGGGAGTGCAGTGGAGGATGGCCCAGGTGCTTGGGCCCTGCACCCCATGGGAGACCAGGAAAAGCACCGGGCTCCTGGCTCCTGCCACCGGATCAGCGCGGTGCGCCGGCTGCAGCGCGCCGGCCGCGGCGGCCATTGGAGGGTGAACCAACGGCAAAAGAAGACCTTTCTCTCTGTCTCTCTCTCTCACTGTCCATTCTGCCTGTCAAAAGATAAAAAAACAAACAAACAAACAAACAAAACTGATTCTCAAGTAAAATCCTTCCTGTCTACCCTAGCTAAACTAGTCTTTCCATCCAGGTGGCCCACTTGTGTTTTTAGATTATGCTTATTGAGGCCAACACTGTGGAGTAGTGAGTAAAGCCACAGCCTATGGCACTAGCATCCCATATGGATGCCAGTTCAAATCCTGGCTGCTCCACTTCTGATCAAGCTCCCTGCTAATATGCCTGGGAAAGCAGTGAAGGATGGCCTAAGTCCTTGGGCCCCTGCACTTATGTAGGAGACCCAGAAGAAGCTGTGGACCCCGGCTTCAGATCGGGCCCACTACAGGTCATTGTGGCCATATGGGAGTGAACCAGCAGATGGAAGATCTCTCTGTCTCTCCACCCAGCCTACAATTGTGTCTTTCAAATAAATAAATAAGAAAAAAAAAAAAAGATCATGCCTATTTGTCTAAAGTACATATCGAGCACCACGCATTGGACTCAGCAGCCAGGAAAGAGGGTTTGGGTCTGCCACACGCTAGTAATGTAGACTTGAGTAAGTTGGCATAACCCTCCATGAAGCCCTCCATAACATGGTGAAAATGACATCTCCCTCCCGGGATTACAGTGGGGTTAAGTGGGGTGCATGTGGAAGCCTTTGCACAGAGCACACACTCCGAGGTCGCTGTCCACTTCTCCTGCACCTGTCTCACACACACCTCAAATGGCACAGATCCCCAGAAGGGCAGGGACCAAGCACTCAGGAACCCACCCTTCTCTGTCACACTGTCTGGGGGGCGTTGGCAATTCAACAGGAAGTATGGGATTCTGAAAATCTGAAGTGTGGTGGTCACACAATCACCTGAGCATAACAAGGACTCATTCACAAGAGTTACTTCCTAGCACCTTAATGGGGTTCCAAATATGAACATACTCCAAAAAGTCATGGAAAAATAGAATTAAAAGATAAATTTATTTTAGTGTAAGAAATTCTGAAATCTATGCATATATTTTCATAATATGCATTTCATGAACTTCTTGAAGGACTCATACATATAGAACTAAAAATAATAATGAAAATTTTTTTCTTAGGAAATAAGCTTTCAAAGTTGAGTCATAGCCCTCTGCAAGGCAATCTCTGATCAAGGTTACATAATTATTTGTCCTTGGGGCTGGTGTTGTGGCATAGTGGGTAAAGCTGCCACCTGTGGTGCCAGCATCCCATACGGGTGCCAGTTTATGGCCTAGATGCTCCATTTCCAATACAGCCCCCTGCTAATGGCCTGGGAAAGCAGCAGAAGATGGCCCAAGTGCTTGAACCCTTGCTCCCCGTGCGGGAGAACCAGAAGAAGCTCCTGGCTTCTGGTTTCGCCTGACCCAGCTTCGGCCATTGTTGCCATCTGGGGAGTGAACCAGCAGATGAAAGATCTCTCTGCCTCTCCCTCTCTCTGTAACTCTTTCAAATAAATATATAAATATTTAAAATAATAATAATAATGTGTCTTTATAAGAGGTATTAGCATTAAAACTAAACAGTTTTCCTTTGCTAGTACCCTAAATTTAACTGATGTCTCAACATACCAAACTGACATTGCCTACTATGTGTGCAGCACAAATGGTTAAGAAGCCCTGGGCCAGTGCCATGGCTCACTTGGTTAATCTTCTGCCTGCAGTGCCGGCATCCCATATGGGCACCGGGTGCTAGTCCCGGTTGCTCCTCTTCCAGGCCAGCTCTCTGCTGTGGCCCAGGAAGGCAGTGGAGGATGGCCCAAGTGCTTGGGCCTGCACCCGCATGGGAGACCAGGAGGAAGCACCTGGCTCCTGGCTTCGGATCGGCGAAGCTCCAGCCATAGCGGCCATTTGGGGAGTGAACCAACAGAAGGAAGACCTTTCTCTCTGTCTCTCTCTCTCACTCTTTAATTCTATCTGTCAAAAAAAAGAAGCCCTACCTGCTGGCCTGTCAACTCCCTCTTCATTCCCTCAGTTGTCACTCCCTTGCCCACACCTTTAGCTCTCACTTTTCATCCACTGCTCCTGACTTCTGTGCCTGGATGTCTTCCACATCCTCCTCAACCACCTCCCCATCTCTCACCCACACTGCTCCCCAGTTCTCTCTTGCTCATTACAGACCCATTTTCTCAGGAGGAGGAATGGTCCTTGCCAGCTCCAACCCCACTCTGGGATCCCATGATTCCTTGCCCCAATCACCTGGTCTCAGAAAAGGAAACACAGAAAGCTTACCTTCCCCCACTTTAATGTAAATGTTTCTGGCTATCTTGAGTTCAGTGAAGGAGGTAACTGCTCCGTATTCCTTTCGGGCCCAACTTAACAGGTCTTCATTTCCATGGGGGAAGTTCCTTTCTTCTGTTTCTGCTGTCAAGGAGAAGTTTCTTGACGAAAACTGGACCTCAGAACCCGGAGACACCTAGAGGAAATGGAATTGCAAATTTAGCCTGGCCTGGAGCATAATTAATGAGAGCATGGCTCTGACCACAGACGGGGACCTGTCAATGAGTGGAACCACCCATCCTCTCTGTGACTCAGGCAGAGGATCCTTTCTCAGCAATTGTTTCAACAACGACAACAACTCTAAGCCTACTACTCCAGATAACAGCAAAGCCATCAAGGCAGGACGCGCCTTTGAGCTCTGGCAGAATTCCCTGATGAGACTGCATTATGCACTGCGAGCAATCGAAAGAATCACCACTGCTCTTTCCCATGCATCTACATTGAAGGCCAACCTTCAAACACAGTTGGCTCTCCTTGGATGTGAATCTCACACCTGCGGATTCAACCAACTGCAGAATGAACATATTCAGGAAAAAAAGGTCACGTCTGTACTGAACATTTACACTTTTTTTCCTTGTATTATTCCCTAAACAATTTAGCAGAACAACTAGTTACACAGCATTTACACCTACTAGGTATTATAAGTAACCTAGAGATGATTTAAAGTGTACAGGAGGATGTGCTTCCATTATATGCAGATACAATGCCATTTGTACAAGAGACTTGAGTATCCAAGATTTTGGTATCCACGGGGGTCCTGGAACCAGTGTCCCTCCAGACACCAAGGATCAGCTGTGATGTATTGCGTGTTAGGTGGGAAGTACTAGCATGTGTCCTCCCAGGCTTATGACGGGCTGTGGGATCAAGGCAATCGACCCCAAAGTCCTTGTTAGCAACTGACCATGACTTCAGATCTTCCCCAGTGACATCATCTGCCAACAGAGCCACACAGGGACGCGGTGAGAGTCCTTCTGGTTTAGGTGCTCCTGAGTAGATTAAAAGAATGGCCAAAGGTTGCCAATCTTCTACTACAGTTCTCTATCTGGTAGCAGCAAGATGAATGCATATGACAGTTTATTTTGTAAGATCCCCAAGTTCCCATAGATAATGAAGTCAAGAGGTTATCAAACAACCCTAATAAAACTCTCAGGATGAGTTGTGCAAGCTGCACACGATGGCCGAATGTATGTAGGCCCCCGCTGAGCTAGCACAGCATGATGTGCCTGTAATTAACACATACAAAGGAGGAACATCATCTTGTTGCTGAACAATAATCACATTTAGCTGCTGGTTAGAATATGCAGGCCACTGGCTAGCACTTACAACAGAAATGATTTTCAGTGTCTTGGCAAAACCTCAAAATGTGAGCAGAGAGGCTCACAGATTTCTAAGTCATACAACTAGAAATGTCTTTTATATTAAGTTTCACATTAACTCTCTATTCTTACCAAAACGCAAGCAGTTTCTAAGGGGTTTATAAGTAGTCAGATCAAAAAGCAAGTTGAGGACAGGAGTTTTGCTTTCGGTTCTATTGCTGATAATACAGCAGTGTTTTCAACCTTAACACATACACCAAAGAGTACTCCCCCAGCTACATTTTAAAGCTAGCAAAGTACTCAGCTGATTCCATGACCTCCTAATGCTGTGGCTATCCCTTCTTAGTTGAAAACTGGAATCACCTACAGGGCTCTAAATGTCCTGATGCCAGGCCACCTTCAAATCAACTAGAATCTGCCAGGTAGGGCCTAGGTATCAGAATTTTTTACGGGGCCGGCGCTGTGGTACAGCTGGTGAAAGCCCTGGCCTGCAGTGCTGGCATCCCATATGAGTGCTGGTTCGAGTCCTGACTGCTGCACTTCCAATCTGGCTCTCTGCTGTGACCTGGGAAAGCAGTGGAGGATGGCCCAAGTCTTTGGGTCCCTGCACCCACGGGGGAGACCCAGGTTGGGAGGGGTCTCCTGGCTCGTGGTTTCAGATCAGCTCTGGCTGTTGCAGCTGTTTGGGGGGTGAACCAGCGGGTGGAGGACTTCTCCCTGTCTCTACCTCTCTCTGTAACTCTGTCTTTCAAATAAATGAAAATAAATCTTTAAAAAAAATAATTTTTATGCGGCCTGGGTGACTCCAGTGTTCAGCCATCCTTAAGAATCCCTATCTTAACAGGTATTGAAATAGTCCACATTTGCAAAGCAGTGCTATGGGACAGGCCCAGCATGGGGTACCTCACACCTGTGGCTCTTAACTGGAGGTGACTGTGTCCCCCGGGAGTCATTAGCAGCACGTGTCTGGAACACTATGATTGCCACTACAGCCAGGAAGGTGGTGCCGCTGGCATTCACTGACTAGAAGCCAAAGAGATGGCGGAACACCTGACAAGGCTCAGGACAGCCAAGAATTCCCCAAAATGTCCACAATGCAAAGACTGAGACATCTCACTCTTCACTTGGGACTGACCAAATGTTGGAGCCCTAGTTTGAATCCCCGAACTGACAGCCTGTTCCATGATGGAAATCAGGCCCGCTCTTCACTACTTAATAAAGAGTAAGAGGGCCCGTTGGGCTTGCCTTGGCTTGGGAGGCCCAGAATCAGTCATTAATGAGTTGGGGCGGGCAGTGGCGGGGGCACTATTTCCCAACAAGCACACTGGCTGCATGGGCCCTGTGCGGTAGGCACCATGACGTGTTATCCAGGGTGGGAATGACAGCTTCCCAGTGTCGCCCTGACTTTGTTCTGATGCCGCCTGCACATGACAAGCTCCCGAGCCCTGTTCCTGCCACACAGCAGCCGTGTCCTCCTATGTGTAACTCTTGGACAGCTTAGCTTCTCGTCAGTGCTGAACCTCAAACAATGTTTATCTGCTCCACTGGCTTCAGTCCTGTGACAAGCTTTTCACAGAAAAGTACTACAAAGATACTTTTATCAAGCCTGTCCCTAGAGGTGGGGAGAAAAAAAACCCACGACAGCCCCTGGCACGGCCCACATGGTCGGATGAGAAGCCAAGTGGCCCCGGATGCTCCGTCTCTGCGTTCTCATTCATGGCACAGCCAGAAAATAAAATACGGGGCTTTAAGCACCACATGCTAAGGGGACCTGTCTCCAGGGTGAAAGGAGGACGTATCCCATGCTGCCTGCCAGAAGCAAGAAGGCATCAGTGTTGGGGCTAGTGCCGTGGTGCAGGTTAATCCTCTGTCTGCGGCGCTGGCATCCCATATGGGCGCCGGTTCTAGTCCCGGCTGCTCCTCTTCCCATCCAGCTCTCTGCTGTGACCTGAGAAAGCAGTGGAAGATGGCCCAAGTCCTTGGGCCCCTGTACCCACGTGGATGACATGGAAGAAGCTCCTGGTTCCTGGCTTTGGATCAGCCTAGCTCTAGCCACGGTGGCCATTTTGGGGAGTGAACCAGCAGATGGAAACCTTCCTCCCTGTTTCTCCCTCTCGCTGTCTGTCACTCTACCTCTCAAATAAATAAATAAAATCATAAAAGAAGAAGACATCAGTGGAAATAAGGGAAGACATCAGGAGTGACCTGGGAATGTGTCCCGAGGTCAGTAGAAGGCAGACCACCACGCTGGAGCCAATTCTTCGAGAAGGGGCACCTCCCGCCGATGCCTCCACGCCCGTCTCCCCTACCCCTAGGCAGCAGCAACCAGCGCCACACACTCAGGGTCCAGGAATTTGGAACCAGAGCTCCTGCCGCTCCTCAGACACATTCCAGTAGGAAGAAAGCAGAGCTGCCAGGGGCCGTGAGGTGTCCTGACTGCAGGTCAGTGGAAATTTTCTGCTTCAGCAAGGGCTTGGTCAGCACGCCGCTCCTGCTGCCAGCTCTGTGGGCCCTGGGACAGAGCTGAGTTTCCGATGGTATTGTCCAGGTGTGACCGGCTCCTCAGGACCCGGGAGGCAGGCTGCCGCGACTTCCACAGGACAGAGGAGGAAGCCTCCGAGAGAGAGAGACTGGCGACCTGCTCGAGGCCAGACACTCGGCCCTGGGCAAGGTGAGACCATGGGACTTCTCACAGCTGGCCTGGCTTGGACCCTGCCAGAAAGAGGACCTTGGTAACTTTCTAATCAGTAAGATTCGCCTTCTACCCAATGCCTGAGGCGTGTGTGCCAGACCAAAGAGAATTCTTTCCTCTTCCCTTCAACTACAGAAGGCGTCATAGCCTCGAGCCCACGTTTGCTTCTTTGGCTGCTCCCCAGACACCACCTTACTCAGAGCTTCACCAGTTTAGTCTGAAATGTGGTGCTGGGTCAGCCCCAGGACTTCTGGGTGTAGTCTAACAAACATACTCTGAGGGTTAATTTTATGTGTCCACTTGACTGGGCTCCAGGGTGCCCAAGTAGTTGGCCAAACATTATTGTGGGCATTTTTGTAAGGACTTTTTGGAGAAGAGTCACATTATATCAGTGGACTGAACAAAGCATATGCCCCCTTCCAATGCTGTGTTGGCTCATCCAACTGGTCGGAGGCCTGTGTAGAGGCAGAGGCTGGCCCTCCCCTAAGGAAGCGAGAATTCTCCTGCCTGCTGGCCCTCATGCTGGAACTGGGACATCACACCTGCGGGCTTTGGATTTGCCAGCTTCCATAATCACACAAGCCAAATCCCTGTGACGAATCTCACTGAGCAAGGCCTCAGACCACAGCAGCTTTTGTATGATGAGCTGAACCCCGCTGTCATCTCATCTATGCTTCATACATTCAACAGACATCTACTGAGTACCTGCCTGCTCTGTGCCAAGCACCATTTTAGATCAGGACACAAAGTAGAAAATGTGGCAAATAGAACTCCCTGCCCGCATGGAGCTTACAGTCTAGAAGGGAATCCAGAGGAACAAAATAAATGAATGCATGTGATGGCAAAGAGAAGAAACTGCGAGAAGGAAGGAGTACTGTGCTTTTAAGTACTGTTAGGCAGAAAGTCGGAGAAAGTTGCTGAGAAGTTAAAGACTGGAGCTAGCATTGTGGGGCAACGGCGTTAATCTGCCACCTGTGATGCCGCCAGCATCCCACATCAGAGCTATCAGAGCACCGCTGGAGTCCCAGCTTCTCTGCTTCTGATCCACTGCCTGCTAATGCACCTGAGAAGTCACTGGATGGCCCAAGTGCGTGGGCCCCTGCACCCACATGGGAGACCGGGACGGAG